AGTACATCAAAAATATTTCCGGCTTAAATGTTTGCCTACAGTGGATAAATATTTAGCCAAAGTTTGGGCCATAAATAAACCCAAATCGCAAGCTAAACCTTCGACTGTTTGTTGAGTGTTGGGGCAAAATATTTGTTCGAGTGTACACATGTACGCTCGCTTATGCACACACGTGGCATATCTTTAAGCACACACTCTCTAATGGCCGTTGCAGGATAATAATTTCCTTGAGCTGGGGGAACTCGGGATCCCCGGGCATTTAAGCGCCGCTCATTTATCACAAATTTCCCATTTACCAGCGACTTGTCCGAGTCGGGTAAAATTAATATGCGAAAATAAATTATCTGGCCAAATGAGCAGCGCTTACCGCAGCCGCCGAAGGTTACGGAATCGGTTGGAGCGACGGAATCGCCTGGAATTCCCATTTTCACACGCGATTTTTTGCGTATTCGGCCAGTGGGCCGTAGGCTTTTCAGCTTCATCAGTCACAGGAGCAAGTTGGCTCAAACGGCTGGCAAATAATGGCCGGCGAGCAAACAAGTTCGCAACGCATGCAGGGTAATTGAATATCGGTCAAGTGTGAAGGGAGCCGGCTCATCCATTCGGAAAGCGATAAAACCCCAAGGGAGATCCCTTTAAGCCGGCTTTAATATTTCACAATGGCTTAAAGTTCTGCCAAAAAGAAAAAACATACAGTTGCGATTCGATTAAGGCCCGCTCACGTGAATCTCTGATAATCTCCCCAACAACGAGCCTAATTTGGAGGCATTCATTTGGAAAATTAAAAATTAAATTGCTTGTCTCGATGCTGCCGTCGCGATATGGGAAATATTGTAACACTGGCCCGCAATAAATCTCATTAGCGAGCACCGAACACAAACAGCATGCGGCAGCACAAAAATTGGGGCATCCTGTGAGGTCCTGTCTCCATTTTTGATTTGTTGTTGCTAAGCACTCGGTGATTAACAAAGAAAATGTGAGCAAAATGACATGAGCTGGGGGATTTGATTGGATAACTAAGTTAGCTGTGGGAGGAAAGTTCTCCCGTCTGACAGATACTCTGGCATTTCAATTGCGAAACTGAGTTATCTGTGTTATCTCAACAAAGCCAACGTATTAAAATATTTTAAGCACAAAGAACAACTTTCAGTCGTATCGAACGCAGAAACCATAACCATATTATCGTCAAAAAAAAGAGCAGCATGCCGCACATAAACACAAATGCGTATTTAAATTCAATCGCAACATTCCGCGGCAGTGAGAGTTAACCGTATCCTTTTTGCAGGCAATCCATCATAAACCTGTCAGCCGCAATATGCCAAGTGGTTGCGGTTGAGCCGCCCCACTCCCACTCCAACTCCCACATAACCCTGTTGCACCATATGCCATATCACACATGCCACATGCCAGCCGCCGATGCGTTGATAAGATTATTGTACAAAGATATTCCGCAGAACGCAACACATTTGCATAGCGTTCGAAGTGGCACAAAAACATGTCGGCAATCGGAATCCGGATCGGTATCTGTATCTGTATCTGTATCTGTATCTGTATCTGTATCTGTATCTGTATCTGTATCTGTATCTGTATCTGTATCTGTATCTGTATCTGAATCAGAATCTATGATATGCCACGGGACTTGCCACCGGTGGTTGCACGTTTAAATTGTATTTTGTCGACAGTGCCGACTGCCATCTGCTCCGCTGCGAACTGCGAGCTACAAATTTGCCAGTAAACACTCGAATGAAGCCTGCCAGCCGGAAAGCAATTGCTTCGCGCCGTGCGAGCCCCTGAAATATTAGCCTCGTTTGGCCGGAGTCGAGTGCCCCCTCCTCCTCCATCCCCCCTCCCTTTCCTCCCTCCGCTCCTTGGAGCCAGCTTTATGGCCTCTGATTGCATTTCGCTGCCAAGGTAAAAATCACGTGGGGTATTGAACGTTTCGCCCTCGAATCGTCTGCATAAATATTTAAGTATTCCCAAGATTGCACTCGTTATTCTACTCTGAACTCGAACGTGTTGAGAAGTGTAAATGGTATGAGTTATCAGATTTGAGTGTTTTTGCTTTTAGGGTCTTTTGTTAGCTGTTTACTAATGGGGCTTAAAATTCACAAAACTATATTTTTGTAAATTGAAGAAAAATTATTAAATTGACTACTCAAAAATCAGTTCTTTCTGAAGAGCTCTACATTTCTGATTACTCTATTTTCCCATCGTGAATCTTGTAATTTTTCTAAAAGTTCTTTCCTTATTTAGCCACATTAAAAAGGCAACTATAAAATATACTTTTAATAAATAGCTTTTATTGGTAGCTCCCTCGAAACATATTGTGCAGCCCATAAACAAACTTGAGAGCCACACGCGGCCAATAAAGCAAGGGCCAACTCATCGGCATATTGACGCCTGCTCACTTAATTGCTCGGCAAACGTTGCGCCAATTCATCGCACACCAGATCAGGAAATCAGGAGAGGAAGGAGAAGGGAAAGGGGAAGGAAGGACGAAAGCCCTCGTCTAAAATAGATTTTTTTCTTTCCTTTTTAGCCGGCAACTCGCCTTTTTATGAAGGACGAGAACCGGCATCCGCCTCCAATTAGAGTTCTGCTGATTTGGCGCACTTAGCGAGCGGCATGTGTTTGTACGCCTCGTTGCTCCAAGTCCCACGTCCACATCGAGTGGAAGTGGGTGGAAGTGGGTGAAAGTGGGTGTGTTAGTGGGTGGTCGACCGTTGTGGAAACCCATTAAGATCATGCTCCATTAATTGAGTTCCCATGAAATCGGCCGGTCCATGTGAATGGCACTTGTTACTGCGGACTGGGATGGTGTCAAAATTGTGCATGTTCCAAATGGTTTTTGGCCGTCTGAACTGCCAGCCACAGCCACTGCCGCCCCATCAAATTAAGTTACACTTGCAAAGCGCCAAAAGAATCGTGGCCAAAACGGGGGGTTGTGGGCTTTTTTGAGAGGAGGCGGCTTAGCCGTTCTGGTCGGCGGGAATTAAATATGCATGGCTATGTTTTGGAGCTCGATTGCCAAGTGGGAGTTACCCTCCCCCCTTCCCCCCTTTTGTCCATCGGCCGTAATTGTAATTAGCTTCTGCAGAAAGGGCTCTCGAAAACCGAATCGAATGAACAAAGGATCGAGGGGGCGTGGCTGATTTAGCGAATGTAGGCGGGAGTGTAACCAGCGGGTGCGAAATCAGCCAAATTGGCTAAATGGGTTAGCACTGGCGCCCTTTTGCCAGATAAAGGGCATAAATAATCCGTACATATTGGGTGTGAATGGGATGCAAACAGAGTTTGATTATTCCCTTGCGTTTTTTACTCTGAATGGGAATTTTGCAATTTTATAAAATAAAATGTTCAATGCAGTTTAATCTACATTCATGCTCAAGCATAGAGGTATTTATTTATTATATCCAAATAATAAGGTAACTCACTAAACGCTATTTAATAAACTCAACTGTATAATCAAGGATTTCCATAGACAACGCTGTTAATAAAAGTTAAGGAAGTAAAAATCCCTCCCAACCATTATAATCCGATAAAGATGATTAATTGCTCGAATTGTAAATGTTCTGTTTAAGAGGCGAAATGAATTGGTCAGAAATGTTGAGCAATCATTTTTAGCTTTTCCACAGCTTGCACCATTTAAACCGTATTTACTTCTGCTTTACATCGTTCCGTTGGCTATAATTCTCCGTCCGTTCAGCAGAAAGTTTGGCCAAGGTCTGGGGACCTAAATGAAGTTTGTGCCCGCACTTAACCAAACCGCAATAAATCAAAACACCTGCTGGTGGTAGTGGTACTTAAGAGCCTTGCCGCCCAGGACGACAGCGCAACAATGGTGCGACATGAGCAACAAAACAGATAACAGCGAAGGGAAACTGTTTTGGTAGAGCAACTCCAAATACCCTTTATTATTAATAAAACATATATATACAAACACAAAATAATATTTTTGAAAATTTAAACTAATTTAATTGGTAAAGAATAATGTACAACAAGAAAAGAGAATTTTAATATTTGAATTAGTGATTTTAATTTATGCTTTAAGGCTTGCATCCATTCCTTAACACGTTTTAGCCCTTCTAGCTTCTCAGAAAATACGCAGAACTCCTTTGCCAAGCAAAAACAATGAAGAAAGTCTAGCTGCGAGCGAAATCAAAAGTTTTACGGCCCCACAAAATAAACGAAACGGCCAAGAAGGCGATAAGGCTACAACAACAATGGCAACAACAGGTGTTCGACACAGATTCCCACGTTCACACAGTGGCACACACGCACACACACACCTACACAAACGCAAACACAAACACACACTCGCAAGAAAGGCGGAAATGAAAACGGTGTTGCCTACTTGCAGGCGCGGCTATTTTGAATGCGGCTTTATCCTTTCAGGGTTCGGAGTTCTGCATTTGTTAACTGCATTTGCGGTTGCTAAACAGGAACACAAGCTACGCACTGTCGAGGAATGAAAAGTGAAAAACTTGGCAGCTGAAAAGTTTGCGGTTAAGTTTTTTCTCGCACCTTTTGCGGTCGGTGGAAGCAACCCATGGGATTCTCCCAGCAGCAGCAGAATGCAGTTAAAACTTGCTGCCGCAATTCAATTAAAACTTCAATGTAATGCTGGCAAGTACACACAGCAACCCCTGCGAACGGAATTTACACGAGTGCGGCTCCTTAACGCCGGGATGACAGCAGCGTGCCAAGTGGCAAGTGCCAAGTTGCAAGTGCCTTGGATGGCTTCAAACTTTGTTGTCCCGACCTCAGCTGTCCTCGTGTAAACAAACGCCCTAAAAATCAGGGGGCGGGCTGTAAATGAGCAGTGGCTAAGGACCACGGACGGCCAGCAAAACAGCCGGCATCATATTGTATTGAAGCGAAGTAGAGGAAATGGAAGTAATCTTAAAAATATTATCCGCGCAGGCGCATTTCCTTTTGCTTTTTGGTAACTATAAAAGCGGCTGTTTTGGCCATGGCCAAATCAGTTGGTTCGTGACGCTTCTCCGGTTAACTTCTAACAGCGGAAAAAGGATAAATATCCTTCGACTCAGTGGTAAAACTTCGAACTCGGAACTCCAAACACCAAACTCCGGTACTTCGCTTGTTGATGTTGTGGCAAAGCAATAAAAACTGTAATTAGTGTGCGCTTGTGGACTCGCAAAATTTAATTAGCAAGCAATGTGGTGAAAAGTGGGAAATAAATAAACAAACCCTTCAGGAGTACAAAAAACTAAACTAACAAAAAAAGTAATTCAAACGAAATGCAGTTTCCGAACGGTTAGTGCAACAAAGCGACCACAAAGAAATCTAATTTGCGTTGGAATTATAATTTGCATCCAAATCAGATTGCAAGCCTAAATACTTGTGTGCTATGAGGTTTTTCTGGTGAATAATAGTCCTTATTTGCTAAAGGAAGTAAATATTTATGGGCTTAGCTTTAGAAACTGAAAGTGGAACCTATATTTGAACTTTAGTTTTGCTCATTAATTTAAAAAGCTTTTTTATTAGTGCAAAATAGTTTTAATGTGGTGTTAAAAGTAAACTAATAACTTTTTATTGGAAATTATAAAATAATATTTGATTAAATAACAAAAAAAGGATAGCTGTAATCTAGGTAATTAATAAACTTTTTGAATTATTTGTATTGCATTTCAAAGTTTATTTTACAAAACTACAGAGCAATTAATTATAACGAAGGTGATGCCTTAAAGGCTCAGCAAAACGATTACCCAATTTTCGGTGGGGGCTTGCAATCCTCTAATTGTATTAAATTTCAAATTATACCTGGGTATTCCGACTGCAGGCCGACCAAGCTCCAAACTCCAAACAATTTCAGCTGGCTTGTGGCCGAGTTTGGGGGATTGATTCATGTGCTTCTGCGGTGGATCTGCCACACACGAATGGGAGTTCGAGAACGAGATGGAGAATGAGTGGGAGTTCGTGCGGCAAGCTGCCTAATTGCAGAGCAACCTCATCGCATCAAGCTCGCTTTGAGCCATTCCACAGCCACAATTTCATATTGTTACAAAATTGCATTGTTAATGGCCGTTGGCAACCCTCGACTGCAAACTAGCAACTGCAAACTGGCAACTGGCAACTGGCAACTGACAGTCGCTGCCCGATGCCCGATGCCTTTTCTGTCTGCCAGTTTTGCCAAGTGGGTTAATGTGGCCCAGACCAAAAGGGGGTTAGGAGGTGGCCTGAACCAGAAGAAGGAGGAGATGCGAGGGGTTCGAGGAGCCATTTACATACCATTGGTTAATGTGCAGTCCTTTGGTCCTTTATAATGGGGCAACTTTTCGCTCAGTCAGCGCAGAATATCTGCGGTTATCTCCGGGCCAGCGAATTTCTTTCTCCTCTCCAGATGCAATAAACATAATCCCGGCATAGATAATGGCTAATGGTTCGAACCGCCAGCACATAACGTAATATAATGATTAGGTCCTTCGGTCGTCGAATGATTTTACGCGGGGAGCAGCCAACTTGGCCTGTTAAATCCTTTTAACATCCTCATCGGCGACCTCTGGGAGTAGATTCACTCCAATTCACTCCTCCTTTCGCCTGCGCAACAATAACAATAACAGCAAACAACAAGAACAGAGGCGCTCTTATGCCATTAAGTGGCATTATAATTACAATTTGCACAGAGGACCCAGAAGTGAGGCAGCCGGCAAGTCGGGAAGTCGGGGATTTGGGGAGGGAGGAAACGCAGGCCGACCTCGACTATAAAGTTCGCATTCGAAGGACTCATTAAGCTGGAAGCGAGAAGGCCACTTAAGTCAGGCGGGTTAACGTTTAACTGCTGACGCCAGAGAGCCAGTCCTGAGATGCCAGGTCTCGTATTTGCCAGGAGCAGTCTAATCAGAGCTGGCCCAATTAGCAAATACGCTTAGCAAATAATCCGCTCAGATTTTAATTAATTGGTTCCACGTCTCTTTCGACTTTCGTCTCCAATCGGTCGGTTTTTACTGCAGCAGGTATATGTATTTATCTTGCCTTTGTGCGGTTAACAGACCTCTGTCTACTATATGATAAAGCCCCGATCCTGAACTACGGCTGAGATTCTGATTTTCAAATTAATTGTGCGCATAAATTTCCCAGGAAGCCGAAGCCGGAGCTCCATGGTTATATCCTTCCGCATCCGGAGGAGTCGGCAACCTTTCGGCTTTCGGCTTTGTTTTTGGGCCCGTCGAGCTGGCAATAAATTCACTTTCGTCTCAAATGAGTTTGCATAATTCAAATACCGAAAATTGAAATATATCCCCCAACAAATATTTGTTCAGTTATAAAGTGGATTTCGTCCAATTTGTTATGATTTAAGCGAGCAAAGGAATTAAGTCTGTTAGTTAATTGAGATGGGATTAACGTGAAAAACGAGAGGGATATAGCTTACCTGCAGTGCGATTCTTCGCAGAGGGGAAATCAATAACAACGGAATTTAATAAAGCCGCAGAGGAGCGTAGGGTAGATGGAAATTCTTTGCAAGGAATGGTGAGCATTCGGGGCAAAAAGTTCATTCGGCGAAACACGAACTCCGGCTGCAAGTGATTTACATATTAGGACCTGCTGGAATTAAGTATCTTCGAGATAGCGCGTGGCAGATAAAACTATTCGAGCACAACACAGTCGTACAATTTGTGTGGATCCAACTAATGGTTGGGAAGATTACGCATACGCCCGGTTGGTTGGTTGGTTGGGTGAGCCAATGTAGATTCGTCCCTGGGCTAAAAGCGCTATAAAATTAATTTAAAGACACTTCGAGCTTAATCATTCGCACAGATAAAAGGCGACAGTTGTCCCCGGGGATAATTGCGTATGCGTGTGGAACGATCCGGGGACTTTCAGCCAGTTTGAATCGTTCGAGGGTCGACGGCTTTGATATGCTGCCCGGAATTCGAGGCATAATTTGGGTACAGCATATTTTTCCCATTCCACATACTGCTACCCTGCCCCCCACCACCCCCCGCTGGACAATTCCTGACCCAAAGAAAAGGAAAAAAAGGGACCCAAATGGAGGACTCCCGCCACTTGTAGAAGTTTGGCCAAACGTGCTGAGCTTTTAAACTGGCCCACTCGACCCACGGGTGTGGGGGTGGCTATCAGTTTTACGAGTCCTCGGGGATCCACTCTTGTTAAACTCGCATCCCGCTGCTCGCATTGTTGTCAGGCGGAGGGAGCACTCGAAACATGTCGGAGATTTGCTTGAGCCAACTGCCTTTTGATATTCAATCATCTCGGGCGTTGCTCAAATAAAGGCACCCACGCACACGCCGACAAAAAATAAAAGTTGCTAGCGGACTAAATATTTTCAGATAATTAAATTTAAACTGGAGGTCGAAGCTCATCTTTTGTAATTTAAACACATTTTAAATAATCGGAAACTATGGTTATATATTTCCCGAATAGTGAATAACTAAATTAAAACAGGAAGTAGAACTTACATTTATGATTATTGACGCATTTTTAATATTCCCAAATTAAAGTCTCATATCCCACTTTTAGAGATTTAAAATACCAATATTTTACAATGCAATATTTCACAAAAACATTTGTATCTATAAACTCAATAGCAATAATTCAAGTAAAGCTTAAAATAAATTCAACAAAAATATTTATAAATAGTTTTAACAGCGTATATGACTGCATTTCAAACTTAGAAATCTTTTTAAAAATAAACATTTTTTGCAGTGCACACACACATGACTGGGTTGACTTTCAGCTAGTCTCCAATTTGTTGATAATAATGTCCGCCTGTTTTGAAGTGTCACAGCGTGGGCGGAAACATGTATTTTGATGTTTCCTTTTCCTGCCTTCAAAGGGAAATCCAAATCGATGTGTGTATTCGATTTGGGCCGTTTCGGTACCCATCCAAAGCGACTTAACAAAATTTGAGTAATAAAACCGTAAAGGCAGAAAACAATACTAATTTTCCGTGATGGGATCCATCCCGAGTTTTCCCCAGGTTTTCCCCAAGTGACCAACCGCAGAATCGCGGCGAAGTTCGCTGAGCGGGAAGCCGCATAAAATATGCATTTGACTTAGCCGGACGACTTTTCCGCCTGATTTACGTGCCTTGCCGTTTCACCTTGGCCCAAGTCTATTTGGAATTCAAAAGCTTTTAACAGATTGTCGCAGGCAGTAACTTTGCCAATTTGCAAAAGTTCAACCGAGCAACTGAGCAGCGGCGAGAGCAAAACAAAATGGATTAAGGGCAATAAAGGCGGAGGGAAAACAATAACAATTACACTGATTGCCGCCCCCGAGGAAAACGTTGAATGTTGACTGACGACCGACGGACAACGGACGACCTGCTGCCGAACGAGCCAAATGGTCAGTGGAACGCTCAAGCGGAAGCGGAAATGGGAGTGGGAAAGGGACAGAAGAACTCAGCTGAACTGAACAGAACTGAATTGGTAACTCGGTGGTGGCTCGCTTTCTGGGCCAACCGATAGAGCCTGGCCATAAAACAATTGAGGGCTCAATTTTCCGCACCCCCGCCTCCGCCGCCGCCGCATTTGCATTCGGATCCATATTTGCTCGTGTTTTGCATTTTCCATTTCGCACTGGGACCGCAGGACGCCCAAAGGATGCGCCCCGGTTCCGGAAAATTCGGAGCGCAACTTTCGTTAGGTCGAAAGAGCGCTGAGCCACTGGAAGCGAACATTTATCTACCAAAAATGTTTTCCCGCTGCCTTATTGTTTCGGCCAACAAAGATTTGCCGCGCTTATGTGCGTAAAAATTCTATTTGATTGCACGTTCATGTTGTGGACTCAACGCTTTTTTCTCCTTCGTCCTTCGTGCACAGGATCTTCCACTGGTCACAATGGCCAGGACCATTGTTTGCCAGCCAGTTGTGTGTGTGGCTGCAGCAATACTTAATCCTGATATTTATTTCCTGCACCAGGATGTGAAAGCGAATGCGGCGACTTTGATGCCCCGAGCCCTGCATCCTGTAATCCTGTTCTGGAGTTATCTTAGTCCTTAAGCCGCTTGTTGCCATGAGAACCCTTTACGGTCGCTATAAATTCTCGTAAATACTGTTTGCTTGGAGTGCATTTCAGGGGGCACGTAGATGTTATTACACTTTAGATACACCTGAAATCAAATTAGTTTAAATCTGATACTTTGAAGGGGGAAGATTGGTTTAAGTAACATAATTGCTTTACTGCAATGTAAATACTAACTTGATCCATCTAGAACTTTAGTTTAATAATCTTTGTTTGCTTACCTTTACATTATTATATGTATATTAGAAAAGTGTAGTAGTTATTTTTCGTTTCTGCAATAAAGCAATACGAAACTGGAGTTTAAGTAAACATTTTTAATATTCACATTTTTTGCCTTGAAGTATTTTAACAAGGTACTACCAAACTATATTGCACTTTCTGCAATAAAAGGCAGTTATTTGTATATAAATTCAACATTTTGCATAAGCGTCCTTGGGGCAACCAACATAAGTTTACCTACAGATGTATATAAAATTGTATATAAATCATTGCAAAAAGTAGCAACTGCAGCCGGCAGCCATTATCATGCAAAGCCCGACTTCACTATTTGAATAGAATTGGAGACTCTGCTCCCGGGGAAGCCTTTGTCCTTTTGTCCTTCGGCACTCCCACCTCAATCAGGCTCTGATTTTTTACTTATTTTTTTCTATCCTTTCTGCAGGGCAGCGATGAATGCAGGTGCTGTGTAAGTGCCTCTCCTGCGGATAGAGGGTCGGATCCCGGCGGAATCAAAGCCGGAACGTGACTTTTGCCGAAAGTAAATTGAGCCACCGCAGCGATAAAAGCTGCCATGCCAAACGGCGAGTGTCGCTAGGACACTCGCAGCCAGATAAAGGATCCGAATCCATGGCCGGGCCAAAACCCGGTGCTCCTGCGATGCACACCGATGACATCTATTCGCGGGCGCACTCCGTCGCCCTCGTCGCCCTGCTCCTCCTCCTCCTGCAACTGGTGGGCTGCTCCACGGCGAATCCTGTGAATCCCTGTGCCCACAAGGGCATGGCCGAGCTGATTCGCACCAGTCCGGTGATTGTCAAGGCCCTCGCAGCGCGGCTCTTTTCCGAGGAGCCAGAGGGACAATCCGCGCAGGACACGATTTTAATAACATTAACGCCGGAAACGATATACAAGGGCGCCTCCCTGCTGAAAATGGCCAACGGGGCGGCCGATGCCGAGGACGCCATGTCCTCGCGAGCCGGAGGACCCATGTCCTGGAGCTCTGCCCGCCGCAGCAGAGGTCCCTACGCGAACAGCGGAACATCCTGGAGCGGCGCTGAGTCAGCCTTTCAGTACGAGGGGTAAGTAATCGCCGGGAATGACCGGCCATCATCATTTTATCCACTTATTTTACCCACTCAACCTTTAATTTTTAACCCGCAGTCAGCTAAACGCGACCCTCCAGCCGCTGCGGTGTTTCGATAGTAACATGCTGAAAATGCTGCCGGCTGAATTAATTGCCTTTGGCAAACTGCTGCCCGCTGCGGCAGCAACATCCCCCGCAGGAAGTCCTGCTGCACGGCAGTTGCAGCGACCGCCCGTCGGCGGCGCTAGCGATGTCCTGCAAATCAGCGTCAACGGTCTGCACCGCTGGACGCCGCAGTTCGAGAACCATATCTGGAAGCATTTGGGTAAGCGGCCACTTCCGGTGTCCTAGGTCATTGTACTCTGCAAACATTTCACATTGGCATCTATGGCGATTTTACACTGAGATTAAAGGGGAAATATTATTAATAATTTACATTACAGTGTATTTTGAATGCATTAAATATATGACGCATTTTCTTAATCGATACTTGTTTGGGATTTTATTTAATATACTATAATCATTACTGCTGACTTTTCTAACAGACTTTTTTTCAATCAAGAAACCTGTTAAACATACCTATCACTTTTGTTTTAAAGTAATTTCTTTTATTAAAATGAAATTGTTAAAGTGTATTCTGGGCTATAAAATTCATTCAGGTATTTCAACATCGGTACATACTCTTCAATTTGTTTTTAAATATACTAATACTCAGCTTTCTTTAAATTAAATATATTTTATCTGCAATACTTTTAATTGCCACAATATTAGCAACTTAAATACAATTTTAAACTCATTTAAAGTTTTAAGAGTTTTATAGTTCATAGTATGATTTTCTCTAAGTGCATCACTTTTGCACCCCTCTCGATGGCCGCCCCCTTTCCCCCCGGGAATGACCCGGCTGGGCTTCCGTTACTTCCGTTAGTTAATCGCATTTCGCTTGTTAGTTGTTGCATTGTTGAGCAAATCGCCCCGCTCGGACGATGGTCGAGTATTGGATGGAAGCGGCGGGATAGAGTTTCCGAACCAGAGGCCACTGGTCAGGCCGAGCTCGGATGAGGCAATCAGTGGTAATTGGCACCGGAGCTCCAAACTCTCCGCCCGCTCGAATATCGCAACATAATTGCAGGCGACTGAGTTGCTTAAAGCGGCTTATATCCCTTTCCCTGCGAGCTTTTAAGTAATTCAACAGTAAAATACGGCAAACACTTGAAATTCACCAGCTTATTTGGCGCATTCACCAGTCTATTGTGACTTCATCAGCGCAGCTGTAAGATTAATCTTTGATGAAGATTGATAGCAATCGCCGTGATGCCTCTGCATGAAAGGGGGCGAAAATATATAAAATAGAGCAAAATAAAATACGAGTAAAGTGAAAAACATAATAAAAAGGGAACTTCTCGATGACGCAGCAGATGCTGCAGATGTGGGCCACAAGCCTCCTTTCAAGCCGGCAAATCCGCACCGTTGCCACTCGAGGGAAGCAACACTTGACTTTTGTGTCAAGCTGCGAGGCGCCCACCGAGAATCTGCCTCGAATTGCGGCAGCTGAATGAAAGCTGCCTTTAGTCCGAGAAAAAAACAGCATTAAAATTTGGCACGATGCTGTCTTATTTTTATGAGTTATAGTAGAGGAGAAAAACGGTTTCCGAATGCATTATGCACGGGAAAACTAACTAACAAACTAACTTGCTAACTACTCAAAAGAGTATATCAAGTTTATTAAATGAGAAAATTTCAGTCTATTAAAACTCAGGCAGCCACTTTGTTTCAATGAGTTTGCGTTCTTGGTAGTGTACCAATTATAATTTATTAATGTTTTTTAATGTATTTCTTTAAACCTCACACGCAATCATTACTAATTAATTTATGTTTAATAACATAAAAGTAAACAGTACCAATGTGTGCGGGGATTAAAAAAATATAAAAGCAAGATTGCTTTAATTAATTTGGAGTGCACAGAATAAAAAACTCAAATACTTAACATGTTAAAACAACTTTTTTGCTACTGGGTAGAATTAAGTTTGATTATTTTTTCGCAATTACTTAACATTTGTGCTTTCCGAAACTCACTGCAAACAATTGGCAATCAATTCCAGGATGGGACGACTGGAGCGACTTCACCCTGTGCAGCGTCACCTGCGGTCAGGGAGTGCAGCAGCGCTTCCGGCGCTGTCTGCTGGACAACCCGCTGGTGGACATCAATATGAACCTCAACCTGGTGGACGACGACGACGACGATGACGACGACGTGGTTGAGGGTGAGGGTGGGGATGCGGGTGGGGATGCGGGTGGGGATGAGGAGGCCGCAGTGGAGCTAACCTTTTCCAAGGAGGCGGACACTTTCGGCGACGGCAATAACGATCTGCTGGCCGAGGATGACGGGAATGAGCACGACCTGCTCATAATGCGAGCAAGTGGCGACGAGTCATTGCATAAATTTGACCAAACGACAACGATAATGCCACAGACCAGAGTCCAGGGGCAGGCCCATCCGAATCCGAATCCCAGTCCCCCGGGAGAAACAAGCGGCGGTAATGAACCGCCGCCAGTCGATGGAGCAGGAGCTGGCGAAAGTGTCAGGTTTGTGCTGAGTGCACACAATGACCGGAATGGAGGTGGAGTTGGAGTTGGAGGAGAAGCAGGAGCAGGAGCAAGAGAGGGAATGCGAAAGGGAGCTGGGAGTGGAACTGCGACCAGGAAGGCACGTGCCAGCAATCAGCACAAGAAACGCAAGCCTGCCAAGAGCGTCGCCCTGTCCACGCTCCTCTGCGAAGGATACAACATCGAGCAGCGCAACTGCAACAGTTTCGAGTGCAGCGGTGAGTTCCCAATCTCAAATTTCACATCTGCTTGAATAGGAAGTTCTGAATCAATAATTTTATATAATTTTTGTTGGTTATTAGACATTTGTTTGGCTCTTTCTGACTTTCTCGAAGAACAGAAAAAAAATAGAGTCATTTAACGTGCATAGAAACTTTTCTCATATGTAATATCACCCCTTTTCCATTAAATCAATATTTCAGATGATATCAGTGATCTCTTGAAATTCTACAAGAAACTCCCAATGGGTGAGGAGCTGCCCACCCAGCCGTCGGATGCTTCGTACGCCTCCTCCTATCCGGATCCGTATTCAAATGCGGATCTCACCACGGCGGGTGTGATGGGCACATCCTTCAGTCCAACGCCCTCGACGCCCTACAACATGGGCTACATCCGGAGCTGGAGGAACCTGCTCAACTTCACCCTGATGGTAACACTGAGGGCCAAAGTAAGTGCATTAAATCCATTTTTATTGAACGGGCGTAACCAGGGATTCTGGTCATTTCAGAACGATACCAAGAGCACGGCGACCATTTTCTCCATCCGCAACGCCACCCACAATCTTTATCTGGAGGCCTGCAAGGACGGACTGCGATTGTATCTCGAACGGGACAATACGACGGAAATGTTGCCGGTGAAATTCAATTTATACGATTATCGCTGGCATCAAGTGGCCATCAGGTGAGCCTGTGTGTGTATATGTGTGTACGTGTGATGGGTGGTAGTTCCCCACATGTGGAGATGATTGGCAATCACTGCCTCCATGCTTCTCTGTGTGTGTGTGTGAGTGTGTGTGTGGGTTAGTGGCACTCACTTCGATCTGATGGCCATCGACGTTGACACTTTCGTTTATTTGCATTTTCAATTTATTAGCATAAATGTTTGTGCCATGAAACGCACACTGTCAAACACTTGACACACATGCAAATAGTACGGTAAAACACAGTTGCGGTCGAAAAAGTATCACTCGGCATTCGAGTTTTTTATTTATACGACTGCCCTGTAGTTTTTAGGTTTCCCAATCAATTTATTTATTTTAAATGAAAGTGCGTTGTTTATTTTCCATTTGGGTTTTCTCTTAAAAAGCTGACTTCAAAAAAAGAACTTACATTGCCACTCAAAAAATGTTAATAAAAACTTCATAATCAACCAGCTAATGTGATTAATAAACCCACCACAATTCATGTAAAACCACAGCCAATTTAACTTGTATTGCTATTATTTTGACCACCAGTGTATACAGAAAGCCTGCACATGAATATCGAAGGGCCTTTTTTTGGTTTTCGCTTTTTTCTGTCTACAACGACACACTGCCAAATTGACACTCGGTTCAAGTGGGCACCATTTGTCATCGACCGTCGGCACATTTCTCACTGTCACTGTGTGGGCGCCCGCACACACACTTACAGTTCGACAATATGTATCCACATATAGTTTAATTATTTGCGAATAGCTCACTTTACCATTATTGTTTTGCTGTTATTTCCATCCACCGTGCAGCATACAGAACGGCGATTTCATATCGATTTACGTCGACTGCGCGTGGACAAACAGTTTTGTCGTCTCCAAGCGACTTTTCACGTTGCCCGTGGACGCGGATGTTGAAATCGGACGCGGCTTTAACGTGAGTATAAGCACGATATGCGACTTCCCAGGGGGGAAATATTTCGCGAGTTTTATGGATTGTTACTATGGCTCAAGTGACAGGGATGATACCTTTAGAAAAGCCAATATTGAATAGAAATAACCTAAAACTAAAACTAAAGTAAAAAATTTAGTATTTAGTATTTTTTAAAGTATTTGTTCGAATAATCTCTAGTTTCGCAAAAAATCTTTCTCAGTTTGGATAAAATAATTTAAAAAACAAAAACAAACTAATGAAATCTGAGCGAATATATATAGAACAGAGGTTAAAAATATCATATTTAAAAATTCAGTCTTTAAATAATTACAGTTAAATAAAAAGTGATTCTGTATTCCCAGGGCTCCCCATTGAGTATTCAATGTAAATCCATTAATGTAAACAAATCGAGGCTCGTGCATTTTTCACGAGGAGGCCTGCATGACGTTGATAGCGCATACGCCCCGTGGGGCATTTACAATGCAAATTAAACAATTATTGGCCGACAATTATGTACTTTATGCGCATTAACTTTCGCTTTTTTGTTCGTCGCAGGGGGAACTGCAGCAACTGCTCGTCCTGCCGGAGAACCAGGAGCGGCTGCAGTGCAGCAACAAGCGGACCTCCATCAACGAGGTGAAGCGCTACATCATCGACACGTTCATCGAGGACTACAACGGCAACTGAAGCAATTGCGAGTTCGAGTGCCAATCGACCGAGAACCACATGAATACAGCATGCCAAAATGCGTATATTATATTGCGGCAAATCCACACAAATCCGATTACAAATTTGCCAAATCAAAACTGCATAGATTTATGATTATATTCATTTCATTTGCATACACATAAGGGGCGAAAAGTATGTGCAACTATACATACTAATATTACGCATACGCCATGTGATTTATGCGCTAGCAAACAGCGCACACCACCACACAGCCCACAAAGCAGTCGGTAGAATTCGATTACGGACACATTATGGGTGTCATCATGCCACTAGAGAGAAGGGAGAATCAACCGGGGAATGTGCTCGGTATTTGTAATAATAAGCTAATTTGACGGAATACAATAATTGTAAACGCGGTAATTAATACATTTTGCATAGCGGAAGGCGACTGCAAAATAGAAGAACAGGACAGAAAATCAAATATAACACAACTATGTATATGGTAAAAGAAAAAAACTATTGTTTTCTTTTGGTGGAAGTTGTTTTAACATAAGTATAGCACACATTTTTAGCTGTCCACCCACACGGATTTTTGGGCTTGAGTAAGCAAAATTTGAATATGTAAATGAGGTGGCGTGTTGTTTGGTCAGCGGGGTTCCAGAAAGTTGACCAACTGTACGGCTGCCAGACAGTTGTGACTGGCAGATTGTGGGTTTCGTGCATTTGAGTGCGTTCTCCTAATTTGACAAAGGATCAACTTGTACATTATGCTGTGCCAGTCAAGTGTTTGCAGCCAAAACTGGAGGATAATCCCTGAACAGATCCCCTAGCACTAGAGAGGATTTGTACGTATAGATAGCTAAGGCTCCAGCGACTCTTGAATAAACTTTACGAACGGGAGGCGGAGCTCTAGCCGCACCTAAATTCATAATTTCCTCTTGGCGGAGAAAAGCCCGACGGTCGGCATCCGTTTTTGCGGCTTGCTTATGTCTCCGGATCGTAAATAACTAGCTCTGCTCTTTGCCCCAAGCTTTATCCTGGATCTTAACGAGGTTATATTAGTTGGATTGCACAAAATAACCGAGTGTACCATGTTTTTGTTATGCTTAATTTGTATGTTCAAAACTAAATAATTGCTAGTGCTACTAGTTATGTTCTTGTACTTAAATAATTTAACAATATTTTAATGAATTACAATTTAAAGATTAAAGTACCTTTGGTATATATTACTCACCTGCAGATTAGTAATTCAAATGCTTTAACCAGAAAAAATAAAATGATATTATCTTCACCTGCCCAAAAAGGTATGCTACAGTTTAAAATAAAAGATAAGGTATCTTCTGCTCGGGACACTCGACTATTACTTTCTTATTCTCCTTTATACTCCAAGTCATTGGCAATTTCAGGCTTTGGGTAAAAATGTTGCCGCGCTTGGCAAGTCGAATGCAGGCGACAGGCGGTGAAGACATTGATGAATTTCCTGTCGCATCCTTGGCGCTCCGCTGTGTGGCAGGTGGGGCTTGTGCTCGAGGACTCCAGGAACCGGGGACACCGCCTGGCAACGTCAAATAAACCTCCGACTCCGCCAAACAGCCAGCCGTCGCCTATTGTGACTTAATAACTTCCACTCACGTCATCAAGGTGCATTGAACCGTAAAGTGCGAGAAATAAAGATGGGCAAAAGGATAACCGCTGCAAAAAACGGGTTGAAACTGCGTTGAATGTGAGTGCAATGATATCTGAATTAACTGCGCAAGGATACACACTCGTTTTCATCTAGCTTTTAATTTTCCAAGCATAAATACCATATATGTGGCACATATTCGAGCTGCAAGCAATTAGTTGCAGTTGCAGTCGCTTCGGAATGGCGAGGTAGCCAGGTAAATAGAGCACGAACTTAACCAGACCTGTCATTAAAAATTTAATAGTTGTTATCTTTAAATCCCGGCGGTTCTTAAATTCGAAAATTTATACCTTGATGCAGGCAGACATAAATCTCTGCCCCAGCACATTTTCGCGCAACATGTTGCACTTGATGTGTGCAGTGCAGTGTCCCAGAAAATGCAAACGTAAATCTTTTGGACCTTTGCTTTTGCCTTGCCGCCAAGGCGAAAGTGTCGAGGCGAATATGTGAATACTTTGGACCACGAACAAGTCTGCAATCGGTTCAGAATGGCAATTACCCCGAAACTCTTGGTTAGGGTATGAAAACCACGCGGCAATCGCAAGTAATTCATTTCAAAGTCGTACAAAGGCGAACGAATACGCCAAAGGCATGCGTGTACAAGTGTAATTTTATTTATTTATGGTTGCTTTGGGGAGCCAACTTCTTCTAGAATACCTCGACGCACATTAAATTTCTTTTGGCTTCTACAATTTCTCCAGGTGAACTTTCAAGGAAAAATCAAATTGTTGAAATAATATAAAACGAAAGAAACCTTCGATGTAACATTAAATTTGAAGTTTTACCAAGAGATATTTGACTCCGAAATCAGATTGTTTTCATTTTCAATTAAAAACTTGTGTGTTTTTGGTTTGTAATAGTAAACTGGCTTTTCATTTTACTCATATTCAGTTCAATATACAAAAACTGAATTTTTTAGCAACTTTTAAAGCTTTCTTAAAGGGATTATTATTTTAATGGATCACACCGGAATATATCATCCGTTAATACAGCTAAGCGCTGCCTAGCTTTAAAGTTTGCAAAGTCACTGTGGAATAAAATGGTTCCGCCCAACAATGCGATTTGGACAATGCATTTCAGACGTGGCATGTAAAGCTATTCAACTTCACCCCTCCGAAGCTGGCCGGCCGACAATGGGCGTTCATGGAACACCGCCCACTGTCAATCTGAATCCAGAAACGGGGCTGGCCAAAGGCCATGGTCAGGGGTCCTGGCGAGGATGTGCTCATGCTCATGGTCTGGCCACAGGATCCGTATAAATGCCTTTATTTGTGTAGGTCAAACAAAATGAACTGTAACAATATTGATACAGCTGGCATCGGAGGTTCGAGCACAAAAAGTATTGTGGTACGACTGCGACTTTACCGCCCCCCGATAAGTCTGGATGGCAGCCTTTTGTTTCCGCTGTTCATCAAACCAGCGAGCGGCTTCATTAACCTAAGCCGCAAAAGTTTACCGAAGGATTAACTTGTCTATTGAATGAAAAATAAGTATTTGGTCGAGGTTGCATGCTCCAGAATGTGGGCATTAAAATAAATGTATGTACGCTGCGGTCAAAATAATTGGCTTAAATAGTTTGCCACAAATCACCGGAAATCTCATTAGAGGAATGCAAAATGTATGGAGTTTTTAGAATTAATTATCGAAAAAATGGCAAATGTACGTACATAGGTAATTAATTATCAGGAAAAAAAATGTTTAGGCTTTTGTTTGTATACATGGCTGTAAATAGTAATTATGAGGTTTCATTTTTATTGTTAATACAACGCTTGCTATAGAACCATGTCAATAACGACAAAGTTTTAAACTATACAAAAAATAATACAAACATTTTATTTAATATGTTATAAAAAATAAATAAAAAACAAATTTTAGATGTAGAAACTACCTTATCAGCGACAAATTATTTGAAATTGCCGCCACATAATGTAGCTCAAGTTCATCCCTAACAAACCGCCAAGTGACGGATGGTGTGACCAGTGCTCATATTTCTAACGACCAAATTTTAAATATTTCAAAAAAACAGTTAATTTACGGGCGATCTGTCCGGGCATATTCGTTCAAATTTATATGATTTTCATTCAATATTACGGCACGCGTTGCCGCACAATGAAACCGCCAAGCGGCGCCGCGGCCGCTTTGAATTTGATGCGTCGCTCCGGCCGCGGATTCGCATTCGTGCGATTGGCACGAGTTGGCAGGCCGACGCACCACCACCACACCACCCACTCACCCCCCACCAACCATCGCTTCCTCTGCACGAAAACAACAATCGGATTCCGACAGCAAATGGACCACACAATCCCGCCCAAGGAGTTCAAATGGACGCCGGGCAATCTCATCAACGAGAACTTCAAGTTGGGCGACAATGGGCACGTTTGCATGGTGCTAAACCGTCAAATTCAGGTGCCGGCGCACGTGGTCAAATTGCTGTGGAAGAACGGTAAGCCTGGAGGTGTTACAAAACCAATCCCAGCCAGCTTAGAGCTCCCCACCTCTTTCAGCTGCCGTGCGATGTGCCGTAGATGGAGGCTCTAATCACTGGCGTGACTTTGTGGTGGATCAGGCAATGTCAAAAAAGTCAACTGGGTCCGGGGCCACCACACCACTTGAACCGCTCGACGTGATAACGGGAGACTTTGATTCGATAACGGAAGAAACGGTGGATTTCTTTAAAACCACGCCTAAAGTCCACACCCCCGACCAGGATGCCACGGATTTCACCAAGGCCATTGCCGTCCTGCAACCCGTAATGGCGCAACGCAAAGTCCGCGATGTGGTCGTGTTTCATGACACCTCGGGTCGGCTAGACCACGTGATGGCCAACCTGAATACGTTATACAAAACGCAGAAGGACAACTGCAATGTCTTTCTGCTTAGCGGAGATTCGGTGACGTGGCTGCTGCGACCGGGAAAGCACACGATACAGGTGCCCACCGACCTGGTAACCAGCCAACGATGGTGTTCCCTGATGCCCGTGGGCTCGTCAGCGCACAATGTAACCACCACTGGTCTGAAGTGGAATCTATGTATGTACACAGAATTTCTCTGATCACTCGGAAATTTAACCAACTCTTCATCCCCAGATCACGCACAAATGGAGTTCGGCGGTATGGTCAGCACGTCGAATACTTATTCCACCGAGTTCGTCCAGGTGGAAACGGACGCCAATTTGATTTGGTCCATGGGCGCCTACGAATTCGAGGCAAAAATACGACAAGCCGCCAATACATAAGAGGCTATTGTAGGATTTCGTGTACTTAAGTGAGGATTAGGTTGCTAAGCATACTACAATGTACAGAGTTGGCCAAAGCGGCGTCCATTTGTTTTTTTGGGGAGCAAATAATATAGTGCTGTTATTGTTTGAAAAATATGAAAGTTTATGTAAAAATTCATAGTGATAAGCTCTTCTAATAACAGAAATTTTAGGGGTGAACGTGGGATGAACAACAAATGTTTTGACAACTTATAAAGGTTTTACCCCAGAAACTATGCAAATCGTACACATTTTTAAATTTAACGAAAATTATATAGGTACAGCTTAATTAGAAAAGTCTGTTTATCTTACAAAGTAACATTTTACAAATTTCCAAGTGAAAGGTTGATGATTATCCATTTTGTTTAAAAAAAAACCTTAAATGGAATCAATACCTGCAGATTCAAAGGCAAAAGAGCTGCTCTTTATGTATAAGTTGTTTTTCAAACGGTTGAGCTAACGTTATTTCGATCCTGGCAAGGGCATCAAGTCGAAGCCCATGCTGTTTCCTGTCTTCTTCGACTTCCATCCAGACGATGATGAGGCAGCTGAGGTACCTCCACGCTTGGCGCCGGCCTTGCCGCCCCTTGTTGATGTGCTCTTCCTGGCCGCCGGTGATGTGCTGGACTTGTATCTCTTGCTGGCTCCTGCCTTGTACATCTTTTTCCGCTTACCCGCCCTAAAGGAGTTGAAACCACTGCCGCCGCTAGTGTTGGCACCGCCCTGTGAGGCTACTGCTCTGTCCCAATCCACACTTTCGTTGTTCCAACCTGACGAGCTGGGTTTTTGCTTAGCTGCTGCTTTCTGCTCTTCCTCTTCGTCCAAAACGGCCTGCATCAACAGCTTTTCCGAAGCATAGTTACATGTTATTTCAAGCAGCTTGGCGCCGTACTTTTCAAAGTTCGCCTTGGTCACGTGAGGAATGCTGCACATATCCTTTTCGTTGAGGGGCAGGGTTTCGGCCATACTCTTCAGGGCCTGAATGTTCATGATACTTGCCATGGTGACGTTCCGCTGGCTGGCAATGGTTCGACACAGATCCAATAGATCCGTGTAGCAACGCTCGTGGATCTCCCGCATTCCATCACCACTACTGCTCGCCGCGGAATCAGAAACGCTTGCAACCGCCGCCTTGGCTTCCTTGGCATTTTTGGTCACAGCAAATTCGAAACTGGGCGTTCCCTCCATTAGTTTACTGATGTTATTACCCAGATACAGATAGGCCTGTGGAAAGTCGTTGGCAAATATAAGGTCCTCCCTTAGAAAGCCGTCGATGACCATTTTCCGCAGCAGTCTGTGTATATCGTTTTTATCCCAGTCCTTTAAGGCTCCATGGTGTGGTGTCTTGTGATGGTTAAAGTCCATAATTTTCTTGATCTTAGAGCCCTTCAGAACGTCGGCTACATGAAGAAGCGTGAAGCGGGATCGGCCGTCGCACAGATCCTTGACAGCTCGTGCCGCCTTACGGGCTTGCTCTAACGCGTCGAGAGCCTTATATGCCTTCTTATTTATGCAATTATCGCAGGCGGTCTGTCTGTTTTGTAGACATTGCTCACTGGTGAAATGCTCCCCAAAGTAGTCCAGCTGCTGGGCGCGACGACAGTCAGTGAGGTTTTCGCAGTAGCCAACAATCCGGTATAAATTGTCCACGTGTATTTTCTTCACATTGTACTGGAGAGCTTTATCGGCTGAAAAAGCAAATAAAATTAAAGATTTAAAGACTATTTTAGTTAAACCTAGTTTCAAACAAATTATTGATCACTTACAATCCAACATTTTCTTGATCCTTAACATGTCTGAATAGTTGTAATATAAGATACAATCGGCTGTTTCACCATCTCGACCTGCTCGACCTGCCTCCTGGTAGTAACCCTCGATGGACTTTGGCAGAGAATAGTGCAAAACGAACCGCACATCCGGTTTGTCGATGCCCATGCCAAAAGCGATAGTGGCACAGATGACCTTTATCTTGCCGGTCAGCCAATCTTTCTGTCGACTTTCCCTCTCGTTGTCCGTCAGTCCTGCATGATAGGCAACCGCACGGACGCCGTCCTTGCACATTTTCTTGGCCGTCTCATCGCACTCCTTGCGCGAAAGGCAATATATAATGCCGCTGGAGTTGGCCGGCTTCGTTCGAATAAAGCTACTTATATCGTCCAACGTGGAGGCACCCTTTTTGGGCAGCACTCTGTAACGCAAATTACTGCGATTGAAACTGGACAAAAACCACTTGCAATTCTTCAGATTCAACTGCGCCAGAATATCCAAACGCACGCGCGGAGTAGCTGTGGCAGTTAAGGCAATGGTGGGAACGTTGGGAAAACGCTTCTTCAAAATTCCAAGCTTCTTGTAGTCCGGACGGAAGTCATGACCCCACTGGGAAACACAATGAGCCTCGTCAATGACAAATCTGCTAATATAGTTGTTGGAATTCAGGGTATCGAGCGTGTCCTGGAAACGAGTAGAACTGCTTATCTTTTCCGGCGTTACGTAGAGCAGTTTGACCATGGGTGGATGGCACGCCAAATCATTAAAAATGGACATTACATCGGCCATTTTTTGCTCCCCACTCAGACTCTTTGCACAGATCTGTTGAAGAAAAAATAAAACATACTTTTTTAAAGTCACTTCTAAACAGCAAGGTATAATTTTCTACTCACATCCAAAGACGCCAATTTATTGATTTGATCAAAGATCAGCGACTTGAGCGGACTGATCACAATAGTCACACCCTCGGTCAAAATAGCAGGCAGTTGGTAGCACAACGACTTTCCTCCTCCCGTTGGCATCAGGACGAAGCAATCGTTGCCCAGAAGTGTGGCATTGATCACCTGCAGCTGATTGGGACGGAAACTCTTGAGACCGAAGCTGTAACTTAAGCCATGCATAAGTCTAGTAGAGTGTTCGAACTTTGTGCCATCAAACTCTCCGGTGATGCCGTCGTTGTGCACGTTAGAATGAAAGTTACCCGACAACTTTTGGCTGTCGGTGGCAGTGGACAATTTGGCAGGTACAACGCTTCTATTACTAATGGGAACTGGAGCTGGGCTGGAAACAGAGTTGTTGGCTGCAGCCTGGGAGTGCATTTGCTCGAACATATCTTCATCGTATTCGGGAAAGCCATCGTCATCCAATTTTACAACTTGCTGTTTTGGCTTTGGCTTTTCCTTCACCTTTACATTCTCGAAATCCTTGTATCCATAGCCATTGAATTCGGACTTACGGCCCTGCATCTGCTGGTGCTCGTCCTCGATTTCCGCCAGGAGTCCTGCCAAGTCATCATCGTCATCATACATCTCGCTGTTTGCCGTCCGTTGGGTCGGTCCATTCATTTGCTCCTGCTCCAAATCGCCATCCAGGAGCATGCTTTGGGCCAAGTAGTCATCATCTGGCTCTTCGCACAGATCGTGGATTATTTCCTCGCGTTTTCGCAACATTTGCGGATCGTTTTGTTTGCTAGGTGGCGAGTAATCATCTGGATCCCCACAAAGATCGTGAATGAGCTGCTGTCGTTTAGGTTCTGGTTTTGGATTGTTTTGCTTGCTGGGTGGAGAGAAATCCTCTGGATCCCCACAAAGATCGTGGATGAGCTGCTCCCGTTTTTGTATTGGGGGTTGATTGCTTGGCTTACTGGGCGGCGAAAAATCATCTGGATCGCCGCAAAAATCCTGTAGGAACTGCTGTCGTTTGGGCATCGTATTGCTTGCTTTGGTGGATGACACAATATCTTCCGGCTCTCCACAAAGGTCGTTTAAAAGCTGTTTCCTTTTTGGTAAATCCATAAGCTTTTTAGAGTTCATAACTTGAAGGCTATTTGGCGGTGAGGGTGTTGTTTGGTTTGTTGACCTTTGATTTTGTTCGGCCTCCCATTCCAATTCCTCCTTCTCCAGAGCGTCTTGCTCAGCTTTTAGCTTGCTCTCAGTCCTATCTAGCGTATTCTGCAGAAGCTGCGTTCGCGCCTTAAACTTCTGTCGCATTACTTTGAGTTTTAAAAACGTGTTTGGTTGAAACCCGGATATTTCATTGAAGTGCATGGCGGGAATTTGATCAATCAGAGAGCAATACTTTTCCATCAGCTCGATGTAAGTTGTGCGAAAGAAGCCCAGAGTTCTTTTGAGACCCTCCACGTTCTGCTTATTGGGATCAATGCTGAAGTTGTCGTTTTGAGCCAGATCCTTTAGGTAATCAGCAAGAGAGTTGTCAAACGCCACACTAAGTCTGGGTTTCGGGGGTGCCGTTGAAGGTGAAGGTTCGTTGAGACTTTCCTTGTTGAGTACGACAGACGTTGATTTTGGGACGGAAGTCTCTTTCACCGAACCCAATTTGTATCCTGTCTGCCCACTGTCACTCTTCTTCGGGGAGTCTTCGATTAGACCACCTTTATATGATTTGGAAGCTCGAGGTGATTCATGATTGGAGAGAGCAGGCTTTTTCTCTGAAACTTTTGTCTTCTTTGAAGAATCCTCGATTTTGATAGGATCATTTTGTGAAGATTTTTTTGGGCATGTGTTTTCCGATTTCTTAACCTGCACTGGAGGTGGCGGTGATTCGGGCAACGTGAGTAGGGGATGTCTTCCTCCATTGAGTTTGTTTGGTGAGTCTTCGAAAGAGTATTTTTGATGAGGAGAGTCCGTGTGTTTCCTCTCATTTTGCGAAAGTTTTTTAGGAGAATCCCCAAGGAAACAAACATCTGACTTTGCTATCGATTTTGCACCTACAGGAGAGTCAGAAAGTGAAAAAACTGGTTTTTTCCAATTATTTACTGACGGTTTTTTCAGGATATCTTCAAAGGACTTATTTTCAGGGGACTCCGACAAGCCCCGGTACTTTTGGGTTTTTTCACTCTCTTTAATCGGTTTGCCTAGTGGCGAGTCATCCAAGCTGTAATAACTGTACTGTTTAAAGTTGGCGGCCTCAGCACTCTTGCCAGACTGACTGGACTTCAGTGAATCCTTGCTGGATTGACTGGATCTCAGGGTAGGTTCCTCATCAGATGAAGAGTCCAGGAAAATAGGATTAAAAACAGCTGGGGGTTTGGTCCTCGCACTTGTAGCTAAAAGACAACTGTTAGTTAGCTTTATTAATTTGTTTAGATTAATGCGCATACCATTTGTCTTAGGTTGACTCTGGGAATTATTATCCAGGCCAATGAAACTGCTAAGTGTGAGCTGTTTTCTGGGCGCAGCGGGTTTCCTAGACATGACGACTTGCGATTTCATAAGCTGCCAGCGCTTTACATTAAAAATAACTAATTTTTGATTCCACTAAACATTACTATTAGGTATAAATCCGGACTCCGGATAAAAAATCGCGCGCAATTATATTAGAAACAATGCGAAATGTGGTTCAATGTGACCGTATCCTGACAATGCATATTAACCAAACGATTGCTTAGATGTAGTTTTAAAATAGCTGCTTTATCGAGTCCATTAAAAACCCATAATTTAATTTGTGTAACTCCGGTAACAAATATACATATATAAAATCGGAAGGGAAATCATATAGCAAAACACTTTCACAAATTGGCAAAAATCTAGCTATAAAATAGCCAGATCTTCTGAGCCCGCAAACAGCTGTCAAGCGACATGCTTTCTGCTTCCTCTTGTTCCCGGGGTATCCAAACAATTTCTAAACGTGGTAAATAAAAGCGCATTTTTCCCAATCAAAGAATTAACAATATTATGCATACGTGAGTATTAAATTATTCATTTAAATAAACACAAGCCTTTACAACAGTCCATTTACGGTTTTTCCTTTCGCAGGCATAACAACTTTAAGACCCCCTCCGACGAAGACGAACTGGATGATCTGGACGAAGACATGGTGGTGGGAGTCATAGCGGAGATCGAGCAGGAGGTGCTGAACGAGTCGGACAGTGACAACGATGAGTACGACCTTGTGGATATGGGTGCTCCAGCGCCGGAAAACGATGGCGACAGCAGTTACGATGGCAACGAGGAAATCAGCAGCGACGACAGTTTCGATCCGAATGCAGCGGACTCCGACTCAGATGACTCGATGGCGGAGGACGAGGCCAGTGCTTCAGCCGGAGGAGCAACGAGTGCAAAGCGACGCAAGGATGATGATACTCCATCGGGCAGCAAAAAGGAACCGGAGTCCACTTTCGACCTGGACGAAGACGATGAATCGGACGAGACTGTACGTGCCATTATAGCAGCCATAAAGAAACCCCGCAGTGCCCCGCCAGAGATCAAGCTGGAGGACTTTATCACGGATATCTGCTTTCATCCAGATCGCGACATTATCGCTTTGGCCACCATTATTGGGGATGTGCATCTGTATGAGTACAATAACGAGGAAAACAAGCTTCTTCGCACCATCGAGGTTCATTCAAAGGCCTGTCGTGATGTTGAGTTCACTGAGGATGGGCGCTTTCTGGTCACATGTTCAAAAGACAAATGTGTTATGGTCACCGATATGGAGACGGAGAAGCTAAAGAAGCTGTACGAAACAGCCCACGACGATGCCATCAACACACTGCACGTGCTGAATGAAAATCTCTTCGCCACAGGCGACGATGCGGGCACAGTCAAGCTGTGGGATTTGCGAACGAAAAAAGCAGTTTTTGAGCTCAAAGAACTGGAAGATCAGGTCACCCAGCTGATATCCAACGATCAGAACAAGCTGCTACTGGCAACCAGTGCCGATGGATATCTGACGACTTTCAATATCGGTGCGCGAAAGATGTACGTGCAATCGGAGCCGTACGAGGAGGAGCTGAACTGCATGGGCATCTACCGCGGTGATTCCAAGCTGGTTGTGGGCACCTCCAAGGGGCGATTGTATACCTACAACTGGGGCCAGTTCGGCTACCACTGCGACATGTATCCGGGCATTAAGAGCCCTATAAGCCTGATGATTCCCATCACGGACAGGATTGCCTGCGTTGCCGGGGAGGATGGTAATATTCGAGCTTGTCACATTGCACCTTATCGTAATCTCGGTGTGGTGGGGCAGCACAACATGCCCATCGAGTCGCTTGACATAAACCACAACGGCGAGCTCCTCGCCTCCTCCTCCCACAACAACGATGTGCGGTTCTGGAACGTGAAATATTTCGAGGACTTTGGGGACATTAAGTACAACGAAAAGCACAATGCGTACAAAGAGAAGCGTCACAACCTTCCCTCCTCAAAGTGCACCAATGCCTCAGACTTTTTCGCCGACCTGACCAAAGAAGATGCGGATGATGATCCAGGCGCTGGGCCCAGTAGTACAGCCTAGAAAGAAATGTTTGCTAGCAAGTGTTGATAGCTGGACTCCTTATGTGGGTCGGTGTTAAAAATGCTAGTTTGGGAACTACATGTTGTCATAAGTTAAAGATTATCTTATCTTTTAGAATTAATCTCGGATCCACATTGGGATTTAAAGAGAACTAGAGATTTAAAGCAGCTTTGTTTTAAAAAATGGACCTTTACATAGTTAACCGAAAAAAAGTATGTTTTTAGATGAACAATTTCATAGTGAAATAGGTCAAAGAAATTTTTGAAATATGTTTACAAATATACATATTTTTCCAAAATTAAAAGAAATTTGCCCATCCAGATGCATAGTAGAATTGATTTAATTAAATTCTATGTAAAGCAAACCCTTTGTAAGTAGGTATCAGTCTTTAGCTTGTTGCACGAAAGATTTTACACAAAGTTGCGTGTTTATATTTCGCAAAAACTGTTATCTGTAATAAACCAATTCACAACATTAAACTGATTAACTAAACATCCAATCGAAAACCAACTAGTTTTTTTCGTTTTTTTAGGGGGAATTAAAACAAAGGAAAAATGTATTTAATTTGATTATTTATTGATTTCTGCCGTCTTAGACAACAATATTATTTCGAAAAGTTTTCAAAAACTTTTATGATAAAATAACTCCATCTTACATTATAAGTTATATTATTTGTTAGCTCAAGCTTTTAAAAATTGCATCGAATCAAATCACTTATATGGCACGTTATGAGATATTGAGCAGTAGTGGGTAAGGTATAGCTCAAAGTTTTGACTGAATATACATATAAAAGTTAGAGAAATAAAATTTATAATTTTCTTTACTCACTTAAATTTTTAAAAATATTTAGAAAAGTCCTAAAACAAAAATCTAATTACACATATCAATCAATCTGATAAATAAAATGTCTTGGCGAACAGATTTACAAGCAGTTAAAATACGGGTCTGATATATGGTAGTTTTGTGTGACAATTAAAAATATAACAACAGGCTTGGGCCTAAATAAATATTTACGCCCATCGTGGGAATTCTATACTATAACAATATACGCATATTTATGAAATTCTTATCACAAGAATTTTGTTTCACAAAACGTGGACAATTTGTACATATGTATGTATAGGAAATAATTTGCCGAATCACTTAGTATACCTAGATATAGAAATTGAGCCAAACAGATTTAGCTTTTTGATATTGTTCCGCGCAACACGGCAGCAAGCTTTGTCAACTCTGCCCAATACATGCGTTGCGGTGGGTTGAATATTTTGTAAGGTTTGTATATAGAATTTAAGATTTTTTCTTTCTTTGTTCTTTTATCGATGCCTGCCGCGACGAACTCAGTCTAAGGGTTTTACATAAAGATTCCATGCACACAATGTCATAAGGCGGCTGTACTGGCGGCATCGGTGACTCCACTGGAGCTCGGCGCCATGGCATCGTTTGGCATGTGGGTTTCGATATCGACGCGACAGATTGGACAGTGCTTGTTGGTGACCAACCACTGATCCACACAATCTGTATGGAAAAGATGCATGCACGGCAGACGGCTGGAAGGCATTACAATGGAAGTTTGAGTCATATTTACGGGGTATTTTAAAAGCCATCATGTAAACCTACCGCACATCGTTCTCGATCTCGAAGAGGGTTAGACAAATGGCACACTTCTCCGCATCCTCATCCGTTTCGCTGGGCCGCCTCATACGTCTGTACTTGTGTGGCAAGGTATTCCGCTCAATGGTTTCCTATAGCATTTTTAATAATTAATATATATGTATTGAAATGGGTTTGATTTTCTTACCAAGGTTGCTCCCCGGTTGGGACGAGATGGTCCAATAAGGATACGGGAGCCCAGAGAGAGTGGCGTGGCCAGTCCGATCTCCAGATGCAACGGTGAGTAGTGATGGTGGAACATGTGGTGATGGATTGCCCGCTGTCGCTGCAATTGCTGCATAACCGGTGGAGATTGTTGAGCCTGCGGCTGCTGTTGCGACTGGAGCTGCAGGTGTCTCAAACTCGGTTGTGGTGCCCCGCCACCACTAGCAGCGCCAGATGTGGCTGGTGTCTGCTGTTGAGAAGGTGGTGGCGGAGCAGCAGCAGCTGTTGCAGCATCGTACGGTGGATAGTAGGCGGGGTCCAGGCTGGAAACAGGACCATTTCTCGCGTGCACACAACTGCAGATACTGTGCAAGTATCCGTTACGCAGTGTGCTCGTCAGCAGCGGGGCATTCGAGGACAGATCGATGGGCGTGGGCGTCATGTGCCGACGGTGCATTTCCTGCATGCTCTGCTGACGATACCACAGATTCTGATGCACTGGATACGGTGGCGCCGGCGTCAACGAGGTGGCCACAATGGCACTGGCCCGGTGAGGCGGATGAATGTGGGCGTGCATTTGGTTTTGTGGCGCCTGGTGGCCCTGATGCGGCTGCGGCTGGTAATGCTGTCGATTGCTGTATGCCGCCTCCGACCGTCGAACACTGAAAGGCGGAGATCCGCAGTACGGAATGGTGCTGCGACCAGAGTACATTTCCAGCGGCGGTGGAGGGGAAACCGCTGCCCCGATAGTGCCATTCGATGATGAACCAGGCGCGGGTGGATTGATGGTTTGCCTCTGCGATTGTTGCTGCTGCTGCTGGTGTGGATGCACCATGGCATGCGGTGGCGTTCGTCTATCGCCGTCCAAACCGGCTTCCATTGCTGCCGCTCGTCCTTCGTTGTGCACCTGTGAGAGCAGGTCATTGAAAGTTTGCGCCTGAGCAGCCGCCGCTGTGGCCGCCACTGCAGCAGCATTCAAAGCGCCGCTTAAGGAACTGCGACTGCTTCCGCCAGGACCTCCCTGGAAATGAGGATGTGGCTGGAGGCTTGGTGAGTACTCCGCCTCCATTACAGTTGGCAGTGTTGTGATCGCATAGTGGGGCATATAGTACGGATGATAGCGATGATACACATTCGCCGGACTGCTGCGTCGCCGGCGAGACTGCTGCGATGATGCCTGTCCGTTGGAGGAGCTGCTGGGCGTTGAGGTGGGTGCCCGCTGCTGATGGCGCACGAAGGCCTCGGCAGACGAGTTCTCGGGCATCGGTGGCGGGGGCAACGGCGATGGTGGCGCATGCGTAGGTTGATGTCCCTGCATCCACATCGATGACTCGTTGATGGGAAGAAAGTAGCGTTGGGAGTCCATGCTGGAGCACCGAGGCGGATAGAAGTGTCCGGCGGTGGGATCCATCAACTGGTCAAGCTCGTAGCTATAGTTGTGGTCGGAGATGGCAGCCCGGTCCGCCAGAGCGCCGCTGTAAAAGGCGAATGCAGAGGTGCCATCACTGTTCGGCTCCGTTCGTCTATCTGCTCTACGAGCATATGGCAGAGTGTAAGCACAGTTGTATAGTGGCCTCCTCTCGTGGCTTGGCTCCTCCACATTAAGTTGATGGTCGGTGCGATAGTGCTCTCGATCCCGATCCCGCTCCCGCTCCCTAACTCCTCCTTGTTCCCTGCTCCTCTGCTGTTGCGTGTCATTGGCCAAACCATCGTCATCTGAGGTTAAGTCAATCGATGCAATGGGCTCTCGGGTCGAGTGAACAAATACCACGTCGTCATCATCGTCATTCGAGTCCGAGGACCAGTCATCCAACTGCAAATCCGGAGCAGTCAGAACCACCGCATCGCCGCGGTTCACGTTACTGCCGCGCCGGCCCGTTGAAGTGGACGGAAGATTAGATAGCTCCAAGGAGGACTGCGTATCCCTCGGTCGTCCCACGTAGGTAATAACGCAGGGCCCATTTGCGTTCGGCGTAGAAGATGCGGGGGAAAGTCAATGGAGCAGGTTGCCCTGAACTGGTTCCCTGCTCCGCATATGTGCGGTGCCGACTTCTACCCGGCTGAAACGAATTATAGTTCGTTGGCGACAGTTTTGTGGACGAGCTAGGCGGAGACCGTCCTGGGAGATCCAAGCGCATCTGTTTTCTGGGCTGGATTGTGTCATCTGCTGGACGCACTCGACTCCATAACACGCCCGAGTTTCCTCGGGCGCTGAACATGCCCTGGGCGTTCGGTTCATCCTGGCGCTGCTCTTGATGAATATTTTCCACCAGATGGGACTGCTCCTGCTCCGAGGTTGTGGACGGTGATCCCGGAGGTGCCGGTTCAACGGATCTCCGACTAATGTGAGACCCGTAATCCACACTGCGGGTGGTGTGGGTAGCCGTGGAACAGTAAGCTGCCCGCATATAGGTGCTATCCGGCGGAGCTCCGCCCACAGCTCGTCGACTATTGTAGTAGGTGTGATCAGCATGCCCTGCCTCCGTCTCGCTGGAAGATCTTCTACCTCGAATAATCGTCACAGTGGGCTGAATTGCCGGAGCAGAGTTATGTACTCGCAGATCCCAGCCATCGTCGCTACTCTCGTTTTCCGGCTCCGCTGCTCTTGAGCTGCGGTAAGAAAAGTGGTTGATCTGCCGCCGTCTTGACTGCGCACTCGTGCTTGGCGTAGCATCCGAATCGACGGCGCCAGAGGAGGAATTGGAGGTATCACTGGAACGATTAGCCTTCTTCTTGTGCGCCTGCACCGCCGACGTGGTTGTCGTGGTGTTGGTGGTGCGCGTATGGGCAAACTGTCCGTGCTCCGTGTCCGAGGCACTGGACGTTACATCATCGTACGCATTCACAGCGGTTGGAACCGTATCGAAGGAGCTGTTGCTCAGCTGCAACGAACTTGAGGGCAGTTCGTACACCACAGCTGAAACATCCATGGCGTGCTCCTCCATGGCGCCGGCTGGCCAAGTTCCGCTAATGGAGGCTACCACCGTGTCACCGGCATTATCACCTTCCTGCTCCATGTTCAGGGGTTCAGTCTTCTTTCGCTTGGGACGTGGAATGGCATGGGCAACGGGCGGATTGGATGTAGACGCTGCCGTAGAGGAGGATGGCTGCTCCACGAATTGTGCCGGCTCCTGGGATTGCGCCTGGATTTGTCCCTGGGTGGAGTCCGCATAACGGCTGCTGCTGCTGGCCAGTGATTCACATCGGCACAATCCAGCCAGTGAACTGCACTTGTCGCACCGCCCGGCCGTGGCCTCGAATCCGGATGTGGACGCCACCTCCCGACGTGGCGCCACCAGGGCGGTGAACGTGGGCGGCGAATGACTGGGGTTACTGTGGGTCTGCGGACCGGAAAGGAACGGCGTCATTAGCATGTAGCTATCCGAAAGCGAGTCGTGCGGCTGATTATAGTACATGGCATATTGGGAATCTGCAAGAAACCGAAAAAATGACTACTATCTGGCACTGGACAAGAGGCGACCTTACGGGTTTCCTGGCTGGCCGGACTCGTGGCCACACTGCCATACGACATGGTGACCCTCGGCTGATGGCGCAGCTCATCCTGGTCTTTATCCAAGCTATCCATGTATCTCTTCAGTCGTCTAGGGTAACGTCAACGGAGCGACAAAGAAATGTTGCACCGCACATATGCCAAAAATGTACTGAAAATATGTATATGTATATACGAAAAGAAAATGTTTGAATTACGAGTATGAGTTATAACTGGCTGAAGGAGACCAGTTTGCTTTTATGTTCCGAAAGCAAGCAATTAGCAGTTTGGCTCTCGAATTCTTGCCACAAAAATCTCTAGTGGATCCATTTAAAATATGATTTTTATGGTTGCATCTCCCGAAAAAGCACAAATCCGATTATGAAGCACCAATTAAAGTTTAAAATCTGTAATTTTTTCGTAGCTTGTCAAATACACACTCCTTTTTGGTCAGCACCAATTTTCCGTCCAAATTTTCATTGTTATACGTCAAAATCCCAACAGTTTTTCAGGAAAACTCAATCGCAGAAGTGAGAAATGAAAAATTTGGCTCTTGTTTTAAGTAGACGGATGACGAGATTGTTTTCCACGGAAGCTCTTAATAACTTATTAGTTTTCTTATTAATTAAGTTCGGTTTTTTTAGACAACGCAATAGGGATGAGTTCAGTATCGATACCTTAACTAATCGATAGTTGATTTCGGAATAAAAACGGGTTCGGTAAATTTTATTTATTACATTTTTTATAAAAATAAAACAAGTTTATCGTTATCCGAATGTTTTTTTTTACTTCAGCTTTAAAAATTATAAAATCAAAATCAAAACAGCTGTTTGACTGAGAGGTAAAATCTAAACAGCTGTTTAATGACAACAAATGCGCTTACCTTTACCAACTTATAAATAATGGATTATTTCCATACACTTATGACAAACTTTTTTTAAGATATATTTTGCATTGTGTTTGGATGTAATAAAACAAGGAGGAAATTTCTAAGCGAGGTGGATGTTCAGATAAGAATTTGATGGGGTGGGAGTTAGGAAGGCAAACAGCTGCTTTCGGGTAACAAAAGGAAGCTTAAATGCAATTTTCTGAGGGGGCGGGGTGGAACATTTATCCGCCGCTACTGATCCTAAAAATGCACAACCCGCACTTTAAATAATTTAACCTCACGAAGTAAACATTTTGACTGTCTAATTGCAACATTTAGCAGCGACAAAACCGAAGAGAAAAACTGGCTGATAACTTTTTCTTCGACGTTGCAAAAATTTGCAATTCGGCGATGGAAACGATACTATCGTTTTCAAATTATCTATTTGTTGCAATACAGATTTTGTTACAGATGGCCACACTGTCAATTCAAAAATGGTTGAGCTTAAAAGTTTATTGGTGTTTCAGATGTTATACTTGTTGTTGTTAAACTTCAATCTTTGTTTCCCTAACTTTGCTGTCATAAAATACAGCATACATGGAACTAAGTCCAACATGCTGGCCCATCAAAGACAAAAAGTTTATATTTTATTGCCGAGGCACACCCGAAAGGCCCATCCAAGGTAGACTTCAAACTCGAGAGCACCATCATCACGATCATCACCATCACAACCACAACACAAACAACTCGTTCACATTTTTCCATGTTGAGGATGATTTGCGAGCCTTTTTCATTACAATTGGAAGGAGCCGACTGCACCATCTGGATTGGTTCGTTGTAGACAAATGCGGAAATTTCATTCGAAATGGAAAATCCATTTACGAATACAAAACTGACTTCAGCTGTGTGTACAAGAGGATCAAATTTTTAGAGGGACTGCTTGAAGAATGCTCGGATGCAAAAAACGCCTCCCATCCGGAGTTCATGGTTTTGCATTTTCCCCGGGCTAAAGCGCCCACGTTCACGGAGTCAGTTGCAGATAGCAATATATATTTCAACTGGCTTATCTGCTTTGCTGGCCTACTTCTTCTGTTCTTTTTGCTTAAATAAAGATGCATATCCAAAACACAAAGTTTAACATTTTATGTATTTTGCATTTTTATTGAGTTTTTATGTATAAAACAATATCTACTCTTCCTTTTATTGCGGGTTTCGTATTCCTTTACTTGGCTTATTTTTTTAATTTTGTATAGCAATAATTTTAAAACAAATTGTTTTCATACAAACATTTAATTGATGTAATCGTTCTGTTTATCAATTATTTGCATGTCTTCCCCGTTTTGTCGTTGGTGTTCACTTTTCGAAAGCAGCGCTGAGCAGTTTTAACGACTTAACTTTTAGCCATTGGTTTAACGGACATTTTCTAAACCAATGTGGTGTTTTTTTGAGTGTGCTTTCATCATGTTTTTAGCAGCGCTGCATGTCAAAATAAACTCATAGATATTTTTTTGTTTCGTTGCGAAACATTCCTCACAGTTTTACAAACAAAACGAAAGCGATACTTTCCACTTGAATATTTCAGTTTTAATGCAAATTTGATTGCGTCTGTAGGAATCGATTGCATATTAATAGTTTAAAATTATCTGGACGCTGTCGTTAATGTTCTTATTATTGGGTGTTCAAAACTTAAATCGAACTCAAAACGAAGCCGTTGGCCACTTTTTCTCAGCAGCGTTTTGAGCCAAAGTTATGAACAATCATATATTTTTCAATTTTATCGTTTCTTTTTTTATTGTTTTAAAGTTGCTTTTATTTTTTTTTGGAAGTTTTTAGTATAAGTTGCTGTTGGTTGGAAAAATAGAAGTATTGGTGTGTATGCACTTGACATTGATTTTGTGGGACGTAAACAAAGACTGTGGAAAATGTTACTTCTCTTGCGGCCTTAACAGTAGCTAGAAGTGGTTGTTGATGGCACAGCGTCATTTGATAGATAGATTTCTTCAGGTGCATTTACATTTACATTTTATATCACAATTTTTTAAATATTATAGGTGTATGTATTTAACAAAATTGGTTTGCATGTTATGCTGTCATTTACGCCCAGCTTAAAATGTTGAGCAACTTGCAATGTCAAGAGTTTGTTAGCTTTGCCCAGTGAAGTTGGCGATAGTGTTTGTGTATGTGTGGGTGTTATATAGTGTAGAGGAGTTTTCGTGGCCTTAAAAAAATATATCTTTCAACAGTTTTGGAAAGAAATAATTATCCACGGGGAAGACATTTTGAAGGGGTTTTCATGTACACACACAAAAGCTTATGATGATTTCAAATAGCGTTTGTGTGTACATGTTAATCTCTTCAAAATATTTTCACCAGCTTAAGTTGTGTTTAAGTTTAAATTTCGGGTCAAACTAATTGGCGAGCCGCTCGAAATTTGGACAATTTAATTGGTTTTATAAACTCAACTTATTTTGGCTGCCCGCATTCTTTTTTTCTCCTTATAACAATTTTTGTCATGAGAAATAAAAACATATTACTTAGAAATTTTAACAATTTTCACTTGTTGTACATTTTGGTATTTGGAACGGGGTGTTTTAAAATGATCTTCATTTCTACTCAAGAGGCATGCAATAATTAATGGGAGTACTTAGGATTTTATCAATTTCACCAGAACAGAAAAGTCTAAATTGTTTTAATGCATCTCTTGATCAAACACTTTTCGTATTCGTTTTTATTTTTCACAATAAAAAATTATACTGCAATATAAATTACAATTTTTCGAATCTTTTTTATAAAAAAAGGTATTTGTTTTCTGTTGTTTTCATCTCGAACGACTGTTTGGTTTGATTCAAAACAGCGTAGACGACAATTGCCACTCTCACTTTCCCTCGATTTCTGTTTTTCTTTCTCTGCGGTCCCTTTTCTTCTACCACAATGTATTCTTAACTTTTTTTTTACTTTTTTTTTGTTTTTGTGTTTTTTTTTTTTGTTAACTCTGTTTGCAATGGCGGAATAAATTGATTAAATAGTTTTCTTAAACTTTTGATTGAAACGTAAGTGGTTGTGAAATGTTGCACCAAAAAGAATGAAAGAACTGGAAAGTTGTTTTTAGAGAATGTGCGTGAAAAACAGAGTTCTCTGTCTAAACAGGACCGACCTAACCACTGGCGGTGGCCGGCTCGCAGTACTCGGACAGATCGTTGGCCCGCTGCTGTTGGCGCAGGCGTCGCTGAAGCAAAACACTGTCACTGGGCGGCGAAAGGCCGATCCGCATGTCCGGTAACTCCTCGATCAACTGGGAAGCCTGCAAGTGGGCAAAGCGACCGCTCCCGATACGCGGCTGCTGCTGGCTCCTCTGGCCAGTCGAACGGATGTGCCGCTGCTGCTCCGGGGGCTGGTTCATGCCGCAGCTGCGGGCGTAGACGCAATCCTGGCGCCAGTTACGGATCGACGACTGTTCGTCGGACGGAGGCGATCCTCCGCTGCCACTGCCGCTGCTTCCAACGCTGTTGTGTCGTGCCGCCAGTTGCTGTGGCGGCTGCTTCGGCGGCTGCATCGGAGCAATCTTGTAGCCAGCGGCACCGCCGCTATGCGAGAAGCTGCCCAAATAGTTCCGCTGCTGATTGCCATGGTGACCACCTCCGCCTCCGGTGCTAAAGGGTGGACGGTACTTGCGATAGCCCGCTGCCGGCTGCTGTTCCTGCGAGTGATGGGTGCGATAGCGCCAATTCTCGGTCTGCTGCTTGGGAGCGACCGGATCTGACCGCTGGTAGCGCGGCGCATAGTACCGGTCGAGCTGCGACCGCTGCTTACGGTTATGCATTGCATTGGCAACAGAGGGCAGCGGCTCCTCCTCTTCGTCGTAGTCGTCGTCCTCGTCGATATCGGCATCCTCATCGTTCTGATATGCATCGAGGGCAAAGTAAACATTGCGGCCGGCCTTACTGTGGTGGCCCGTGGTCTGGGTCTGGGATTGGGTCGGAGGCTTATCCTCCTCCGCCGCCTTGCCAAAAGTCGTTCGCATTGTTGTCCCCTCAGCAGCAGTCGTCGGTTTGATAGCGTTCGAATCATCTGTTTCTGGTTTATCGATTGGTGGGCGTGTTGCTGATGCTGCGTTTGCTGCTGCTGATGCTGCTGCTGCTGCTGTTGGTGCTGCTGGCACTGCCGCTGAGTTGACAACAATATTTGCAGTCTCATAAATTTCAGGTAGCTTTTCTTTTAAATCACTAATACTATCCAATAGTTTAACATCATCATCTTCATTTGCATCGCCAGTTTGCCAGTTGTTAATGTGTGTGGTAGTCATAACTGGTGTTTGCTGCTTGTTATTATCGGTGATGGTAGTAGCACTAATATCACTTGATGGTCCTTGCCTCTTAGCCCCATCAACATCATCCTGCTGCTTCTTCTCGTTCATCTCCTTGTCCATCTCCTGCTGCTTAATCTCCTTCTCCTCCTCCTGCGCATCATTGCGCATTGTGGTGAGTTTAGCAAATTCGCTTTGCTGTGTTGTTACCTCTGTTTCCATATTATCCATAATAAGTTCCTCCTTATCATACCCGCCGTTATCCTGATGTGGCTTCGAGTTTTCCACATTGGCAACGCCAACTTGTTCCACGTAAGCTTGCGATAGCTTAAGATTGTCAGCTAGTTTATTATCCTCCTTCTTCCACTCCTCGTTGACCTCCTCCTCCTCTTCCTCGGCTATGATCCCGTTGCGCTGCTCATACAGATGATCATCGCCCTCGTCCTCGTCCAGCTCACGCCAATAATGCTTGTAGTGCTGATAGTCCTCGCTCTCTCCATCGTCCTCCTCCACATCATCCCCCTCGCTTCCGCTCTGTCGCCTGTAGTGATCCGCGCGCTGTTGCTGATACTTCCTCGTCTCCCTGGCCCACTCATCGTCATCATCATCGATTCTGCCAAAGGCCTCCAGGGCTTCATCGTCGTCATCTTCCTCGTGCACATTGAGAGTCTTAAAGCCCCCGCTGTTTGGATAAATTGCAGATGCATTGCGAGAGCCATTTCGAGATGACTGACGGCTACTGGCTCTTTGGCCGTGCATCGAGGAGATACGCCCGCCGTAGCTGGACAGCGAGGCAGCGGGATTGCGCTGTGAGCGACTGCGAGTGTAGTGAGCCGGCGGCTTGGGATTGTAATTCTCATCGCTGTAGGCATCCATGTAAGCCTGTGACGGCTGGTAGATGTTCGGACGCTCCTTCATGTAGTCGTAGCGCATCGAGAAATGCTGTAGGACCACACGCTTGACGGCCATGGCCGATTCGGCAAATTGCGAGATTTCCCTCGCCGACTGGTGGTTGCTGAAATGGTTTTTGAAGGGTTAATTCATTGAACTATCATTACAATTTAAATTTTAATTACCGTCGAATGTTACTGGGTGTTTGCAGAGCCTTGTGGCGGCGTGATTGCTTGGCCGGCGGCTCTTGTTCGCTCATACGAATCCAGGGATGATTCAAGACTGCCTCGGCACTTAGGCGACTTGAGGCCTGCTTGACTAGCAGGTTGGAAATCAGGTCCTTGGCCTCCTCGCTCACATCGTGCCACTCGGCCTCCGGAAAGGAAAAGTGTCCTATAAAACGTAAAAAAAAATTATTACAAATTTTAATCAGGAAACATTATTTTGCTTCGTATAAAATACATATGTTCTTTGTTTCATTAAACTCTTATTTTACATTTAAATAATTTGCAAACGCACCTTGTTGAATGGACTCGAATAGTAGCTCCTGGCACGTGCGACAGTTCTCACCGCGATTCCAGCCGCAATCCTCGCCACAGTTGCCCGAAAACGGCGGATAGCCGCAAAGCAGGATGTAAGCAATGACTCCCAGAGACCACAAATCACACCTTTTATCGTAGGAATGGGCTTCTCCCACAAACAAATCAACCACTTCCGGAGCCATGAATTCGGCGCTGCCAACCTAAAAATTAAATTGTTTTAAATAGTAATTAAACAAAAGTCTTCTAAGGTCCAACTTACTGGTGTCAAAAGCTGGGGAGTGGCTGCTGGAGATGAAACGTCCGTAGTGAACTTAATTCCCGATCCCAAATCAAAGTCGCAAATCTTGATTGGGCACAGCGAGTCCGTCTTGACACACAGGATATTCTCCGGCTTGAGATCACGATGGGCGATGCCCTTCTTGTGCAGAAAATCGAGCCCGGAGGCGATCTCCTTGATTATCTGCGATGCCTCGTGCTCGGAGAAACAGATGTGCTCCTGGATGCGCGTCAGCAATGGACCCCCGTTGATCTTCTCGAATACCAGGTAGAACTTCTCGTCATCTTCGAAAAACTCGATCAGTTGCAAGATGCCCAAATGGCCCTGGCAATGATGGAATGTCTCCACTTCGCGAAAGACACGCGCACGTGCATGCCCCGGTATCTTATCGATCACCTTCACGGCGTACTCCAGATCGGTATAGATGTTCACGCAAGTTTGTACCGATGCGTAAGCTCCCTCGCCCAGTATTTCGCCAGTCAGCTTGTACAGCTCTTTGAAATGGAAATAACGATTTAATTTATGTATCTTAAGGCTTCGTCTATGATCTGCTTACCTTGGAACGTTGACGAATGCAGGGAGGAACTGATGCGTTTCTTTCGTCGTTTCTTCTGCATCTCCTCCTTGTGCCTATTCAGCTCCGCCTGCCGCTCCATCTCGGTCATGTTGGGCGCCTCACTCGACTCATTGCCCGACACATCCTCGCTGCTGTAGCGCGTCAACTCATTCTGCCCGTCTGCAAATAATAAAAGACAGAAATATCATTAGAGACAAGCTGCCAAAGCCAACATTTAACGCCACAACTTTATCTAAAACTCGAACCCATGAGAATAGTTTGTAATTGTTTTATTTAAACAAATAAAAATTGACTAACTAAGGCATTAAAAACCTATTTAATGGTTAACTTTTTGCCTTTTTTATTTCAAATAATCATGAAAATCAAAAAACTAACTGGCGATTTACTGAAATTTGTTATAAATTTTCTTAAATAAAAAATAGGGTTCGAGTTAAAATGGTTTGGGAACATTTTGATATTGTTTTCCGCTAAGAACCTCTCGATTGCTGCATTCTGGCTGGGAATAAACTGCTGGCACAACACCAACCTAAGATCAACTCAACAAGTGTGGTATACGCTTTTATCGAAATCGCTCGCCATATTTGCATGACTATTTTTTCTGCATTTATCAATGTTTAAAAATAATAATGAAGGAATTAAAAAAAAAAAAGAAAAGCTCGTACTTTTGCACTAACTGCGTAGAAAGCAAATCGCGTGTCGTAAACAAGTCGTCGCAAGTGTGCATAAATATGTAAAATTAAATAATGTGTAAACAGCCGCAAACAGGCCTCTATATAGAAAACTTCTGTGCGGAATCGTACAGAACTAGGGCTTGGAGCTAATCCAAAGCCCGGTGGAGAGGGGAGTGGAAACCGAGGGACCGGCGATCAGCTTGATTGGGTGTGCGCCTGTTCTTCAATTGTTGTCAATAGCCAGACGACTATTTATAAAGCCCACAAACAACTGCACCAAGGCGGTATCTGTCCGAAGATCTAGCTGGTCGAGCGAAGACCTACCTAATCAACCAAGAGGCACGTCGCGTTGCGAATAATGATCGCTTCATTGGAGTGCAATCGAGTGAAGTCAACTACAGTAGATATCATTGTAACTATTGCAGTTTTGAATTGCTTAAAAATATTTGCTACAACAAACCTACGCTACAAAACCTAAAAGTGTAAACTCATAAAATAAATTCTTGGTTTTAGAAAATAAACTTTACAGGAAATTCAAAGTAGAGCCTAGCAATCGATTTTAATTTTAAAAGCGAACACTCTTATACAAGCAAATCACTTGTCAAAAAAATGTGGTTGTATCACTTGACAAAAAAAATAAGTCGTTGTCCTATAAAATTAAATTCTGAAACTGATGGAATTTTTACCACCCGTATATCAAATAAATGTCGACTTGTTCTCCCCCTTTCGTCCGCCCACTCATCTCTGATTCTTCGCACGCTTTCCGTTCCGATCTAAATATAAAATTTGGCCTATTTGTTGGTCAGCTTTAATTGTTATCAATTGCGTAAATAAACGTAGAGACAAAAACAAGAAACTCGTGCGTTTGAGATCAAACTCTTTCGAATTTCTCTTGTTTATACGATGGATGGTCTCTCTGGTTCTGGCTGCCGAATTTTCTGCGCATTTAATTATGGTTTTTCGCCAAATCATTTCACTTTGATGGACGAGAGATGTGTGCGCTGGGGACGTTTTTATTTTAAATTAAATTGCATAAACAATCTTCGCAGTTCCGGCACAAAATGTCTGTGGATGTCGACATAACACATCATCCGATCCCTTCAGATGCAAGTCGATAAGGTGATGACGGCAATTGGAAATGAATGAAATGCCCTTAGTATATTTCGTCAGCGACTAGAAACCAAAACGTTAACGTCAACCGACCAACTTATGTAAAAGAACCTGGCCGAATGAAATAAGCTGAGAAACTGTTTGTCTATTGTTTGCCGGCCGGCTTCCTTTCCTCTATTCTTTTTCTATCTGCTTATGTACTCGCAATCCCGGGTATTCCACCGCCGGATAATGTATCTATTTTAAGTTCTTTATTGTGTAAATTTCTTTGCAATACTAAAAAAAAAATATAATTTCCAAAAAAAAATAATAATGAATTTGTTTCATGGAGGTACTACTTGATTTGAAATAGCTCATTAAAGATTAGGCAACTAAATTGAGAGGAAGGACACATCCCACCTGGTGCAAACAAAAAAAACAAAGGTGATAACACGAAGCTGAAAGCAAAACAAGAATCGAAAGCGTCTAGAGAAAACCTTGAGAATTTCAACTTTACGGCTTTAGCGCAAACATAATCGAAGGCAGTGCCATAATAAGTTATCAAATGTCTAGGTAGGAAACGCAAAACACGGTGGCCACGATTAGCGAATAAACAAAAGGCCGATAAGACCAGCGTACAACGCAAAAAGCGAGCAAAGCAAAAGGTTTGCTTTTGGCACTTAGCTTTGCTGATTTCAATTCAAATATAAAAAGAAAAGGAAAGGAGAAAGAACATGCGGTCGTCCATGAAGAGCTTTTAGTAAATAGAGAGCGGAGATGAGAGAAACGAGTAAAAGAGATAAGGTGAGACCGCCTCTCTTCCTGGGTGTTACTTCATGGCAGAGTAAAAGTGCGACGGGGCACATAAAATAAATTACCATTTAGTAGCCCTAAATGGAAGCCCTGACGTCAAAACCTGCGCGTTTCTTCCTTGATGTTCAAATTGGATTATAAATTCCTAATTATTTAAAAATTTTTGTTTAAAATTTTTTTTTTTAATTCTTTGAGTAATCTAAAAAAAAAAGTTTTATTATGTTGTTTATCAAACATTGAACTTTCTGGTTAAGTACGGTATGAATTTAAATAAAATTCACAATGTATTTATTTTATGATTTTATGAAAGAGAAGAGTTAACGAAACCTAAGGGTTCCTTTTTAAAGCAATCCCAAACTCACTCCTCTTTGCAAAACACCTTCCACTTTTGCCATCATGAATTCACGGGCAGAAGCACTGATACATATGCGCGCACACACACGTACGCTATCTGAACGCATGTGTTTGTGCTGTAAAGAAGCAGAAAATTATTGCGCAGCAAATGAAATTGTAAAAGCGAAAAATGTATGAAATGGCGAGTGAGCCAAAGAACAAGATACATATGTATGTATGTATGACAATAAAAACTAATTATGTATGTGCAATTAAATTATAGAATAACAAGCCTTTGTTTTACTTCGTTATTTAATAGGTTTGTTCAACAACACTCTTATGACAAGGTCGATCTAGTTATCTTTATCGTTGCGCATTAATTACAAATCAGTTTTGTAAAGACAATAGTTTAGAATATACAATGCAGTGCAGGCCTACAGCCTGTAATATATAGCGGAAAACTTGTTCGAGCAAAAACAATAACAAAATGCAAAAACCGGCATTTCGAAACGTTTCTCCCCACACAGTTGCACATGTTTATCGCTGTGTGTGTGAAAGTTCTCTCATCTCGTTCTAGGACTTTGTTATTGTTGTTTTTGTATTTACCCAACATGTTTGCTGCCGTTGTTGTTTTTTTTGACGTTCGCCTTTTAATCGCAACGCAATTTGTCTAAGCAACGCCCGTTTTGCTGCTTGTTCTTCTCCTAGGCGGCACGTTTTTGCAATGCGTAGATAAAACCGCCTGCTTTCGTTAATATATTATTGCTCCCCGTCGATATATTGCTTTAGTTTCAATTAGGTTGTTTGTTTTTGGGCTAATTTAAACCCTATTCCGGTTGGATCATCTTCAATTTAACACACTCCCTTTTCCAGAAACCGCCCGACGAAAACGAAAACAATAATCTGAACGCTGGATGGGTTGGAAGCACACGGAAAATTTTCAGATTAAGTGGCCGGAGATTTCGAATTGGATTTGTAGCGGTGTGTGTGCGTAGTACCGGCGACTTTGGAAAATTCGGGTGTGCGGCGAAAACCAATTGGCCAAAAAGTGAATTTAAAAGAAATGGAAAAACACGGACAAATCTTTGCGGACCAACGTCGCGCGGCGCCAACGAGGAAAGAATCAAATTCAAACACGCGCCCGCTTTCGGGGAGCGACAAAACCGAAAACTAACGCCATGCGAGAGAACGTAAGAGAGTTGTGGGCGGCGAGAGCAAAGCGAAGAGAGCGGCCGCAACGAGAGCGAGAGTGGTAGTTGTTGGGGCCGCGACTTGTAACAAAAAGGCATGAATGTGTATACAGTGTTGGCCGTTGAAATAGTGCACCCAAACTTTTAACAGTTTTAACACAAGACACCTTTTAAGCAATTTCACTAATAGCTATAGGTATAGATTTTGCTCGGGTTCTTTTTTTAATTGAAAGTGCCCTAGTTAAGATGGTTTACAATAGAATTCAACTTTTGGTTAACTTTTATAGTTCTGACGATTATTGCTTTGACTCCCGCTGTATGTAAATTTATGCTGCGCTCTTTGCACGTGTCAGAGCGAGACAGTTGGATGGTTCTAAAGCGGCACATACTAAATAACCAGCTCAACAATGGCAAGTGCTGGCAGCTCAAAATATCGGTTGGCATAGGACAACAATCAAAACAATAACTCGATCATTTTATTACAAACGATATTTAAAGCAGCCCGGAAGAGAAACGCCTCTGCTTGCAAAAATCCGGTTTCAATTTGAATGCACAGCAATTACCGGCCATGTTTATTCATCGAGTTCATATAAAAAATTCATATTTGCCGAGAACTCGATCGCAAAATGAAAAAGAGCGGCATTAGCTTTTGCGTTTGCCGATCAAATTCTTTGCTTTCGAGGAGGGTAAATATTGATGGACTAGTTTACGCCGGATCAACGCGAATCGAGGCGATCCGATACCGATACCAACACCGATACCTGTGTGATAACAACCTGGCCAATAAGCCCACGCACACCAACACATTAGCAGCGGAAAAGAGAGCGGAGATAGGCCACATCATTGATTGGACACAGAACCAGTTTTGACAAGAAGTAGCTTTGTGGTTGTGGCCGCCGCAGGAAAAACAAAAACAGCAACAGGAAAACAATAACAAAGCGGCAGTCCGAGAAGTAGAAGGTGGCCAAAAGAGAGACCGGGGGCGACTTAAGAGTACGACGCTGGAAAAGACCGGTGCGCCAGAGAGCCTTACATGATGCAATGCCGAATGCTGTGTTTCATGTAATAATTTAAATCCATTAAGCTTTCACAGGAAAAAAGAACACAGAAAACAATATTGATAAGTTTAATGATTTTGGATATTATTTTGAACCAGTTAGTTAGTTCAAAAAACTCGTTAAACGTCAGTATAATTAATATTCGGTCACCAAATATACATTTTTTTAACGTCTGATTTTCATGAAGATTTCAAAAATTTTTCCAGTGCAGAAAGAGAGCATTCTTTTTTTTTTTTGAAGTGCGAGAGCGAGATGTTAAATCGCACGTAGGCAGAAAAAATGTAGGAGGAGGGCCCGAGGGGGTAAGAGAGAGACTTCAACACTAATGCAGCATGGAAGGTGGTGTGATATGCGCGAGTTCTGTTTAAAAGCAAACAAGTGGAAAGGGCAAACAGCAAAACAAAAACTACATTTAACTTGCTTTGTTTTCGTTTTTGCACAAGTAAACAACAACATATGTATGCCTTTAGGTTTCAGCTGACGTTTTTTGATGGCGGCATTGCCAAAGCTAAAAAATACATTTTCTCGCAGGGCTTTTGCGCAAGAGTGGGAGATAGAGATAGAGAGATGGGCTGCTTTTATGAATCGGAGGCTGCACGTAGGCACTGGCTGTCCTCCAAAAAGTCTAGATAGGATAGGAAACTTCTTGATAAAAGTTAGTAACGGAAAACAAGACCAGCTATCAGACTCTTATTGACAGCATTTTCCATTCAGTTGATTGCTGTAATGGGCACATTGGGCACACTCCTTCTACTCCCCTGTTCCCACAATTGCAACTGTAATCCTCTCTAGAAAACGCTTAATGGGAGCATATGTGTGGGAGGCCTCGCGCTCTCATCGCTGCCTCCGCTTTGGCAAGCTCGTTCGTCTGCCGTCTGCTTGTGTTCGTTCGCCCGTCCGCTTTGGCTTGTCGTTCTATTTTGGGCTGCAACAAACGTCACCAAGTGCAATAAACGTCATGAAGGTTATATGTGGCTCGCTGGCTGCAGCTTTGGAAGTTTGTTCACATTTCGCCGTTCGATGCATTTTGAGCACGAATACCAATGCATGACGCTCAATCGATCAGCTTATATGACTCATTTTTCATTTCCATTAATTGCCTGCACACGCTCAATTTCTCGGCTAGCTGGCACAGATACTAGTGCTGTCTCCCTCTCTTTGTTTCGCCGCCTGGCAGCTGGTGCTCTCTGGTAGTGTTGGTAAAAGCAACATGAACCAGGAACCGAAGCTTGGAATACCCTTGTGCTTCTACTATTCCATTGGAAAGTGGAAAGCACTCGTCCCAAAAATCCTTTATATTGAGCTTAAACCCTTTTATAGAGACCAATACATTTCCTACAATAGATTTTCTATAATCTTATTGTGCAAAAACGACGTAATGTGTTCATCATCCATACATAGTAGCTACAAAATTAAAGTAGTCTGACCGAATATTGAAGAAGATAAAAACGAATTTAACTAAATAGAATCAAATGCTCTTTGTAATAACTATATATAAAATCCAGATGCTGGAATACCCTTTTAAAATAGGGCACATACATTACGTTTAATGGTCTCACATTCGCATGATGCAATTTAGTTCTCTTGGCAAAACAAAAAACAACTGTAAACACCCCACAGACAGGCGGTGGGTAGAGGTGCGGAGAATGAGGTGGGGGTGGTGGGTTAGTTGCCGGCAGGCAGACAACATGCATGTTCTCGAACTTTTTGTGACGTCAAGGAAATACACTGGCACTGCGTGCTCAGCTTGCCCCAGTCAATGCTCCCTAGTTCGCTCGATTGATTAGCAAGGGTAAACGAATGTTCTGCTTTCCAGTCTAGCTTTACCGATAGCTTAAAAATAGACGCTGGATGGCCGAGCAATGGTAATCTTTAACCATTTGAGTAGTGAAACCTCAACCAATAAGGATCGGAAAGGAGTCCGAAAATTTTGTAAAATGAATTTTGCCCAATCGAAATCACCAACTTCTACGCAGGAGTTAATGTAGGTTTCTACAGCAGTTTTCAGTTTGGGCTTTAAATTTAAAACGTAAGCCCTTGTATCCCGAATATACCAATTCTTATCCACTTTTAAAAGGTGATAAATTGAGTTGCTCACGTTTGACAAAAATAATAATGACTAATGCAGTAATTTAAATGATTTGTCTTGTAGCACTGTGACGAAGATTGCAAATCTAAATGTTTGCCCTAGCCAAAATCTGTGATCGCTGCCTAAAACGTAGATTGATTACGCAATAAGTAATTTTGGCATGCAAATACTAGTTATCTACAAAAAACACAGAAAATGAGAGCTGTGTAAGAATTTTAGATCTGTATTTTTAGGAAAAAAATTAAAGCTCTTTTAAACTTTCATTAACATAGTATAACCAGTTAACAAGTCTCTAAGTTCTAGCATTGATTACTCAGTCTCGATTTGCCTTACTTAAAGTGGTTATATCTAATTGTTTGACAATTGGAAAAAGTTGGTATGAGGTATACAAGTTAGACTCCATGGCAATTAAATCAATATCCTACCAATAGATTTAAAGACCTAAGAACTTCGATCGGATATATAATCGAGTTCTAACTTTTCTTTGAAACTAGCTCATGGCGACTAGTTAAGTGCTCACCTGACTGACTCTGGCTGCAGCTGTTGTCCGTGTTGCTGCAGGAAATGCCGCTGCCACTGCGGATGCCGCTGTCCCCAGATCCACGGGGGTTGTTGTTATTGTTGGCGTTGTTGCGCTGCAGCGCAGCAGCTGCACCGCCGGCAGAGGCAGCTGTGCCGGACTTTTGCTCCTCCAGCTCCACCATGGCGTTGTTGTAGTGTTTCTCGTTGATGGTATACGGCGTTTTCCTGGACGCGATTAGACGGAGACAGGAAGAGAGTTCCAAGCTGGAAAAAGGGTTTAACGGTTACGCCGCGGCCAGCTGCAATGCGTAGTGCAACAAATGAGCGCTGTTTCGCTCTCTCCCGCGCTCTCGCTCTTCTTTCAGCTCATTCAAAATGGTGGCCGCCTATGGGATGTTTTTTGTTTTCCTCTACTTTTTAATCCAATTGCCAAGAAATGCGGCGGCTGTTTTTGTAGTTGTGCAAACTGATTCGATTCTGGTGCCCTCTCTCTCGTTGGTCAAGTTTGGTGGTTGAGTCGTCGTTGGTGTTGCTGTTGTTGTTGTAATCGCTGGTTGCTGCTGATTTCTCTCATCACTCGGGCGAAAAAAAGCGCAAGCAAAATGGGGTTTATCTATTTGCACCGCTTTTTCGGTTATCTGAATTGGCTTTATTTTCTGCTTTTTTTTTCTTCTCGACTTTTGCGTTTCACCTTTCCTTTGTGGGCTTGGCTGTGCAGTAGTGAGTGGTAGCTGTGGTTGTAGTTGTAGGTGGTATATGTGATGGTGCAGGGTAATTCTATTATTTTCTGGGGCTGCTGGAAGTGGCTAGTGGTGGAGTTGGTCGTTGAAATTTCCTCTGCTGATTACAACACAAAAAAAATCGCTGAATAGCGGACAAAAGCCGTTTTCTTTGCGTATTTCGCTTTAAGTTCCTTCCCAGCTACCGATCCATTTTCAAAGTTCGAATGATTCCGACGAATGACGAGGAAAAATCGGTGTGCCCGAGGGCTCCAATTTGGTGGGGCTGTTTTTCGGGATCTTAAAGACACCAAGTAGATTGTCAAAAGTGGAGGGTTTCGGCAACATTGTGGCTTGGTCAGACATATTTACAAGGTGGCAATGCTGGTAGTTGCGCGCTTTTTAAAAGATCCAGTTTCGTTCAATTAAAAAAAATTAATTTATTGTTTTGATTTATAATCTTATGTACTTTCCAGAGTAAATTTGTAAGATAGCTTAAATATTTCTGATAATCAAGCCATTGCTGTTATGTTAATTCTGAAATTACCCCAATTTGTAAAAATTTCACATCAGCCGGTTCTGACACAAATCGTTTTTAATCACAGAGGTGGCAACGCTGGTGTCAACACTTGTTGGGTTGGTGTGTTCGCTAAAGTTTCTACGTGTATTTTACACAGTTCAGTAGGACCAAACTTGGCGGATGTTTAAAAATAAAACGTTACCCAATAAGAACCTAAAAAATTGTGAGTTCAACTAGAAAAATTAAAAATGATTACTATTAAAATTAAAAAATTGTTGTTATCGGTAAATTTTAATTAAATTTTTTAAGATTTTTGTTTATATTTTAGGGTTTTAAAGTTTTTTTTGTTAAAAATCTTTGACGCTGTTTTTATTTTTTATCGCTTTTTAAATCATAGTAAATGGGAATGGTGTTTATCAAGTTTGGAAATTGTGGGATAAAATTCCTAAAAACTTTTTTTATACTTCATATTTTATTACAGACAAAATCGTACTTACCAATAGCAAACACTTCAAAAGGCAATTGAAAAAATGCGTTTTTGGGTGATTATAATTTATTAGAATTTTTATTGACTTAAGGTAAATATAAATAAAATATTATTCAAGTACAAAGTTATACATACTCATTAATATTATTTGATTCAAGTAAATATATTTCAAAGTGGCGGTGTTGTATTATATCATTTTTCAATTAAGTACAATTTACTGTTCCTGCTCTATTTCTAAGGGTTCGCAGAGAGCCCAAAAGTACGCTTAACACTCGGTCTTGTAAGGTATATTATATTTTGGGGGCAAGCCACCTCCTTTTTAGATTTGGCTCGTCCACAAATTATTGCGAGTCGTTGACGCCGCACCTCCAAGTTTAGAACCTGGCTTTGGACTCGTGGTTTCCTCGTCTTAGAGACCCGGGGATCGAGTACTTGTGGGTGCTTTGCGAACCCGGACCTTTGCATCAAACCTTGCCCATGCAACAATTGTATCTTTGTGTAATTTACGTTTAATCAATGAATTTGGATCACAAACAGTAAATACGTCTTTAACGATAATTGCAGTTGAATTAAACATATTAAGATCAGGGGGTTTGGGGTTTTGGGGTTGGGGGGTTTTGGGTTTGGGTTACCTTGTAATTATAAAAATATTGTATCTGCATTTTACATGTTTTGTTTTGCTACTATCGTTTTTTGCTCGAAATTACATAAGTCCAGCCTTAAACAAGTAATTTTCGTCACCAATCGCACTCGCGCGCACGCTCCATTATCCATAACACTCGGTATCTTTCAATTCAATTTTGCATTTAAACGCTACGTTGCCTTAACTTCAGTCCTTTCGCAGAAAATCTAACCCTTAAATGTATTTAGCTCTTCTTCTTCGCCCGTCGATCTGTATTTTCTTCCCCTTTTTCATTTTTCACATTACCGCATGCTGCTGCAGACACTAAACATAAATTCAATACGTACAGTTTTCAAATTGGTTGTGTGGCATTAACTTCGTTTTCTAATATAAAAGGTGTAATGTTACGCGACCGATCCGATCCGTCAGATCCTTTAAATGCCATCCATTTCGTCCACTTCTAACTACAATTTAACTTCATCTTTGGCCGCATACCCCCGCATTACTTATTTAGCTCCTGTAAATATGAACTGCTGCTTGTGTTTCGCTTTTTTTTCTGTTTTTTTTCCGTCGTCTACAATTTATTTAAATGCACTAAATGTTGCACGGACCGTTTGCCTATGAAGTCGGTTTGTTCGGTTGTTCGGTTTGGTTTTGCGATGATGCGATTCTATCCTGTAATTGTCGATTTTATACCTTCGATATATAAGCCAATGAAATGTGAGAAAAATATGTTTCTATTTCGTCATTTGTTTGTTTGTTCGTTATTCATGCATTGTTTGTTGATGGTTCGTTTTTGCTTTTTATAAAATGCCAAAATTTGTGCAAATTTCTAAAACTTTTTACTTTGCCCTTCTCGTATTATACTAAAATATTTTTAACTTTAAAATGTACTTTCTCTTTAGATTAAATTTTTGTTTTTCATTTCTTTTGTTTTGTTTCCTTTTTCTTTTTCTTTTTTTTTCATTTTGTTTCGTTTAAAATATTGCATTTTTATTTTATGTTTTTCTTTTGGAGGCTTTATCCCTGAGTGATTTAATTTCATTTGTTTGTCATTTATTGCAACTTTTTCTTTATAAACTTATTGTTTTATACTTTCTTATTCGATTTAGTGTGTCAAGAGAGAGAGTGTGTGTAAGAGAGAGAAATTGAGACCAAGAAAATCAATGGCAAAATAATAACTCCTCGTCTGCTGTGAAGGTTGCTTAATTATTTATAAGTTGTCACGTTATTGTTGTATTCAAATTGTCTCTGGGTTGCCAGCCCACTGGCTTTCGGGCCGAAAAAACGCATTAATAATATGCTACCCTCTAGCGTAGTAACTGTAATTAGATTTGCTTAGTTTTCCTTCGATTTTTCCTTTACTTTTTGGCTAATAGATCTCCGCGGTTTACTTGTCTATGAGTAAGTTGCTGTTGTGTTGCTTTGTGGGTGCTTCTTTCTCTTGTAGGTGTTTAGTTAAAATATTTGTACTTCACTGCAAGTGTTTCAATTACGTTCCGCACTGTAAACTACTGTAGATCCGAAAGCGGCTGGCACCGAATCGAATCGAATAAATACAAAGGTGTTCGGCACCAAGCCGAGAGGATACTAATCTTGATTAAGTACATTTTCTGTGAGAGATGTGCCGGAAAAAATAGTCAAAGAACGTGAAAAATGCATGGAAATGTAGCTCTGGCTCAAACTCTTCGGGAAATTACAATTCGAACATTTTTGTTTGTCTTCTAATTTATAAAACTTGACATTCTGCTTGGAACCAATGGGTTTTTGGAGCTCTAAAATTTGCCTTAAATTGGAATGTGAAACGTTATCCACTCCCATTCGATTCGGAATCAAAAAGGGACTCAAGTTCGAGCTCAGGGGAACATTTGCCAGCTTAGAGATCGAAACAAACAAGGAAAGAAACAAACAAACAAGCCGTTGAGTGTTCGCTTTACAGTATCTGAATCTGCATTCGTATCTCTATGTGTGTATCTGTAGGTTAGCGTATCTAGTTTGAAGCTTCGTATAACTATACAAGTGTTTTTGCAATATGCTGCATTGCTATATGCTTGCAATTGGATCTGTTAAATCGTTTACTTTAATCGTTAATCTCAAAATGCTTTGTATTTGAACAGTAAATTACGTTGTCACTTGCTCGAAGTGTTTGCACTTTATTTCGGTTATTGTTTTATGCCTTTATTCCTATTCGGTTTTCATATGCTCTCTCTTTTGTATTTATATATAAAAAATATCCTTTTATACAGTTGTATTTCCGGTTATTGTTGCTATTGCATTGGCAAATGCTCCTTAAATGTTTTTTGTTGTTTTTAGCGATTCTGCTGGATTTGTTGACCCGTGCTATTCTGCGATTCTATGGCTATTTCTGCTGCTGCTGCTGCTGCTTTTGCTGCTGTATATGTGGCTCTTAACGCTATTTGTGGTTATCAGTTATCAGTAATTCAGTATTCAGTATTCGGTATTGATTGGTAAGCTGGATATAGGTGTACTCTTGTCGGATATTGCAGTTGCAAGCAATGACGATGGCTGGAAGTTCTGGGCACGCCAAGATGCAAGTTCGTATTGTGGCTTTCTGTCTAGTGTTTTGGTGTGTGACTCGCGTCGAAGTTTCTCCTTTGAACATTCAAGTTAAAAAGCTTAAGATTACATGACCTCGTTTCGGGTTTCCCTCTATGCCTATCGGTAAAATAAAATACAAGACTAGAAGTACAAATTTCGCTTGTAGAGCAGCTCCTTACTTCCTTAAAGTGTGTGTGTGCATATCTCAATTCAATAAGAATCTCCCATGGAGATGGGAATCTCCGCACGGGAAGAAACACATTTATCATTTAATGTAGTGAACAAAAGCGCCGCGCGGGCAACTAAAAGGCAAATCAAAAGGATCATAAATTGCACATACATATATATAGTATAGTAAATCGTTTAGCAGATATATTAACTTATTCTTAGAACAGCTTTCGATCGACCGACCGCCTACGATCGTCTCCGTTTGTTTTTTGTTTATGCAGCGACTACAGATCACAGATCCCCGAAAAAGAAACGAAAGCGACGTTCAAGCGGCGTTATCTTCACTTCACTTAACATATGCGCATACTAAACTCGAATTTAACGAATAAATCTGTCATTCTGCTGATTTGTACATTTCGATTGCTATACTTTGCTCGACTGTTCTGTGTTTTGTGCGAAAATCTCAACTGAAAGAACTAAAGCTAAAGAACTGAAGGTGTCGTGAACAAAATCGTACTAATACTTGCATCCAGTAAGTATGTATGTATGTGTATAACTCGTGTGTGTGTGTTTTATTGAGGGTTATTGTAATTGGAGTTGGGTGGTGACGCTCAGCAGGACCCCCGCTAAACCCCCAGCGAATTTCAAAGGCAGCCCGCCTGCTCCCGCCGGCCGGCAGTCCGAGATCCGTATCCCCGGATCCCCCCGCCCGCCGCCGCCAGCAGTTCGTCGGCTGCCTCTTATGGCTTGAAATTCGTCTGGGAGTTTACCAGAAGTCCTTGTACGATCCTCAGGAGCCGTGCAGCGCGTTGCTCTGCGCACTGTTGGCTCCTCCGCCGCCGCCGCTGCCGCCTCCTCCGGCGGATCCGTTCACGTTTTGCGCCGACACCTCCGACTTGACCCGTCGGGCGATGTGGGAGCGCGTGTGCTTGCGCAAGTGATCCTTGCGATAGAAACCTATGGATTAATTGAAAATATTAATAAGTAAATAATTAGGTAACTGATTGGTAAGTTCAGGGGTACTCACCTTTTCCACACTCAATGCATACATGCTTCTTCTCGCCGGAATGGATGACAATGTGCAGAGTTAGCTGCTCCTTGCGCTTGAAGGACTTCATGCAGATCTGTTTAAAAAAAAAGGAGAGTAAATTAGTAATGCAAATAAAATGAGAAATTGGGGAATTCATTTATGAGTATAATATATATTATAACAATCAATAATAGTAGTAGTAAATTATTTTTATGATATTAATATCTTTTTTCTGACATGTCTATAAAATCTGCACTTTGATCACTGATTTAGTGTTTCAGTATAATATATATTAGAGAACATAAAATACAGAGATTTAAGTTTGCCCTGATGATACCATTTAATTGGAACCAAATAATTTGTTTTAAATTTGAATAACTAATCTGAATAACAGGACATTTAAAGATGGATGTTATTTAAAATACACTCAAATTAAAAGGACTTTCTGGGGAATCTTTCAAGCTCCCTTGGGGGGCACTCACATTGCACACATGCGGCCTGTCCGGTATGTGGGAGAGCTTGTGCCTGGTCAGGTGGTCCTTGCGCTTCAGCGCCGCGTTGCAGATGTCGCAGACGAAGCGCCGCTCGACGGCGTGCGAGATGACGTGCTGCTCGATGAGGCTGCGGTCCGGATAGGCCATCTGGCACTCCGGGCAGCAGTAGAGCGTGGAGCCGTCCAGCGCCTTCGTCTCGCGGATCTCGCCCGGCTTGGGGCGCGGCTTCTTCTCCTTTGGTGGTTTCTTCTTTTTGGTCTTCTTGCCGCTGGCCGTTCCCGTGCCGCCGCTGGCGTTCGTGGTGCCCACGGATCCGGTGCTGGAAACCGCTCCGGCTCCACCATTGGTCACCGTCCCGTTGGCATTGCCATTCACTCCATTGCTGGCGCCGCCGTTCGTCAGCGCCGCTCCGTTGGCGTCCGTCATGTTGGTCATGTGGCCGCCATGGTCCATGCCCACCAGGCCGTTGTGGTGGCCGCCGTTCGCCCCATTGTTGCTGGGCGTCAGGGCCACGCCCCCCAGCGCCAGGCTGGCCAGGTTGGTGCCGTTCTTCAGGACATCGCCTGTGGACTCCTTCTTGATCGTCTCCGAGTACTTGAGGAAGTGCTGTATGGAGATGGGCAGTGTGGCGGAGAGCAGGTGCGACGAGTAGTCCACCGTGTTGGCCGTGTTGGCCAGCGTCTGCCACGATTGGTTGACATTCTGCAGGATCTGCTGGTTGAGGACTGTCGAGAGGGAAAAGAATACAGAAATGTTAGATTGGCAATTAAATGGGGCTTAAACCTCTTGAGATTTTAAGACCATAATGATTATACCAAAAACGTTACTAATATTCCCTAAAATGTACGGGTAAATATTTCTTCAAATAACCGACTTATCTTAGTTCTTATACCATTTTTCTAATTAGTATTTTCTGAGTATTATTATTTTGCTGAGGGTCGGTTAAGGTGAAAAAACATCACCCTGGACACACAGATAAACAAGGGACAATATATATTTCATACTATACATGCCCTTAATCCCTTTTTTGCTCTTAATCATCGAATATATGTATATTTTCCTTGCTCAGCGTATTGCCTTGAAAAGGAAGGGAAGTAAAATCTAACCAACACCATTTGGGGGCGTGTCAGCTGTACAAGTTGGTTGCTAACCAAGTATTCCATGATTTATTGTCTTCCTCGACTCGTTAAAGAAATATCAAACTTGCTTTAAAGTATGTTTATGGAAAAATAAACTGTTTTTAAATGGTGCACTATAAATAAACTATAAAACATACTGAGTCACAATATTGTATATTTTAAAGACACGTTTTCATACCTAACCTACGAATAAATTACAAACCTACAAAGAAATCAATATTCACTATTCCCTAATGAAAAAGAAAAATGTGCTTCTTAGTTTTCCTAGGGGAAGAATCCTTTTTCTTTAAAGAATGTTTTGTGATATGCTAAAATATAATCGGTTATTACTGGATTATCAAACACATATGTACACAGCTACCAAATATTTCGAAACTTTGTGACCGGAAAGGGCTGTCTATTCTCAAAGAATCCCCGGATAGTAACCATTTACTGCCAAGGACACATCGTATTCCCCGCCTGCAAGTTTTCGGTGCGGTGCAAACTTTTTGCCTTTGCAGCGTGCGTAATCAGGATGAGGGGCAGAGCAACATCCACTTGTTTAAGGTGGCTCTGGCTGGCGGAAAACTGGATGAAAAAGTATGCTATGGTGCCATAATAACCTCCCCACTCCCCTTCCCTTCCTCTATAAACCGCCCACACCAGCATGGGGGACAGCAGACAGGCCCAAAAACATTTATAAATAACGAAGCCGAAGGGAGACGCACGACGAGTGATGACTGCGTCCTTGAAATACACATATACCGACCGACCGACCGACCGAACTGAAAGCGCTGTACATACCATTTCAGCTCAGCGCTCAGCTTCAGCTTCCCCAATCTCCAATACCTTCTTCTCTATTTTTTTGGCCACGGAAAAGCCACACGGAACCACCCACTATCCGCCCGTTTTGGGGCACCCTTTCCCCGCGGAAAGTCGCCGGACTCACCTTCTTCCCGGTCACGTTCGATTTTTGGATGGATTTTACCCTTATGATCGGCCGCAGCGGCTGCATTGAGAAAGTTCAGATCGCCCTGCGGTTGTGAGTACGGTATGGATATATTCTGGCCATATTGCATATTGTTGGCAGCCGAAACTGAAACGAAAGAGAAACACACATTCACAATTAATTTTGGCTTAAATGTGGCGTAGAAATCGGGAAGGGGATAAATACGAAAAAATAGATATTTACACATGATGAGCACACAGCCTTTTTTTTTTTGTATAAATTGTGTATATAGTTCTTGACTTAGGATTAGCTTTTCACTGCGATACAACAATCCAACAAGCTTGCCACTCGATTCGGCCGCCGCTCTCGCACTCAACGCTTTCTGGCCGACTAACTACAACCGACTGGGCCCGGCCGGAGTTTCCCGATTTGGCGGCTCCGGCTCCTGGTTCCGGACAAATGTCTCCGTCTCCGGCCGGCTCCGAATCGAATCCCATGGCTCAGCTGGCGAGCCGAATAAAGATCGGGTGCCGGCACAAAAACAACATACGGCCGGCCGACAAAGTAACGACGCTTTGGCACGACACACGTACCCTCCATACACACACTTACTTATATATATATACGTCTATATGGATATATGTATATACATCGAGGTATACGCATGTATCTGGGGCCAGTAATTCTGTGCCTGTGTGGAGGCAGCCACATTTTCTGCATGTACAAATTTTGGGGCGGACTTTGGTTGTGTGCGACAAACACGTTAACCGAAATTGGATTTAATTTCTGCTCAAGATTATCACTCATACGCAGCTCATTACGTATACGCAGCGTTGTTATATATTTAAATAGTTTTCATCAAAATTGTTAATCTATTTATTTCACAGATAAGTTTAAAGGGTTTTAAAAAGAGTTTTAATGTTGGTAATGTATTGATATACAAATCAAAGCTTTTATTTTTCTGAAATGTACACAATGTACTTCAAATAAAACCAATAAAATGTCGTAAGCTCTTTAAAAATAATAAAATATTAAATGTTTTGACTAACAGTTCATATTATGAATTCAATTGGAAATTAATCGATAAACTAACAAATACTTTATTTATTTATTAAACATACAATACAATAATAGAACATGGTTATTGGCCAAATTGTGCAGGTCACTTGGCAACATTAAATTTATGGTACCAAATTGTTGCCTATTAAAATTGCAAGTTTGAAACACGAAAGTTCCACCCTAAAGTCCATAAATATGTATCGGCTCTATATAGTTAACCACGTTGTTCCTTCTCGGCAAACGTGCGTGTGGAGCCTACAAACTGTTGTTGTCTGCTGCCTGTCGTCGCCCCCCAACCGCCCATCGTCGCCACCCCCCTTCGGCCACACGCCGCCGTCTGCCAAGGCCAAATTTTCACACACACACACGCACACACATACAGAGGAGAACACACACGTGTTTTCGGGTCCCGACAACGCATACATAGGAAAAAGGAAATTAAAACTGAAACTGAAAATGCCGGCCGCGCACACGCCCGAATGTATGCCATAGGAAAAGCGTTCCCCACTTTTTCGGGGCTTTTTCGGTGGGTGTGCATTTTCCCACCAGATTTTTCGATCCCCCCACCCCTGAATTTCGATTCTGCTTCTTGGCGTTTTCTTAGCCGGGTGCTCGGTTTTATAAATAACATTCTCGGGCTGTTGCCAATTGCCTGGTTTTGTTATGTGTACTATTCAGACTGCTCCTGCTTTCCTTTCAAATTACATGGCCCGATTTTGGATGGAAGGATTCGGGAAGCTGTACTTTATATTTTATAATATTATTCAACGCAAATAAAGAAAAAACACAAGGAAAACGAAAAATAAACTTCCTTTTCTTCTTTCCTTTTAGGCTGACGTGATGAAATTTATTTGTCTCCGTGCGTGTGTTTTGTGTTAGTCTTAGTCTCTGTATAAATTACCATTCGACCTTGGCCACCCACTTAACATACTTCCAAATGCTTTAATTTTCGCTTAGGCCTTAGACTTCTTGGGGTAGATAAGCCTCTCAAATTGTTACTTTAATAAAATCATTGAAGCGGAATTGATTTAAATTGAAAACATATGCTCATGCAAATGGTTATGCGTACATGTATGAACGAATTAAAGGCAGTAAATAAAAAGGTAGCTTACTCCAAACTGTCTTGTTTATGAAAAGGATTGGTGCCAGATACAAATTTAGAAAAATATGGCATCAAGAGATGCCAAGAGATTATAAGGATAAGTTAGAATTGAATTTGTTGAAAAGTAGGCTATATATTTTTAATTAAGGCTTTAATATTAAACACAATTATGGCTTTTTGGTTTTAAAACATTTTTAAAAGATTTTCAGTTATGGTTTCAACCAAACCAAATTCGATTAATAAGCATTAGATAATATTTACAAAATCTATTTAACTTTAACTAGTTGGGTTTTTTTTTTAAATCTTTTAATAAAATTGTTGTGGATTTCTTAAAGCGTTACCATTTGGGAAATGGCAGTGAAATCTCGTGAACAAATGAATAAACAGGAATCATAGAAAGGGTTCAAAGGGAGCCGGAAAAATCGGCCGGAGTGGCCGAAAATCCGGAGCCATGGCAACAACAAAAGCGGGAGGCGTGCGTGGATGGCAACCGGCATTCGTGGCATTTCACTTTTCACTTCACTTTCCCATGAACGGGATGACGACAACGACAGGGAAAACAACGTGGAAAACAGCGTGGAGGAGACGAATATATCGCCGGAATCGGAGCCGGAGTAGCGAGTCAAAGTCGGTAAAGTCGGAAACACGGCCAAGCGAGAGTGAGAGAGCGGTGAGAGTGGAGAGAGTAGCGGAGTGGCCGAGAGTGGGAGAGTGAGAGAGCCAAGTGGGGTTTTGGGCGGATCGTTCGCACAACAAAGTGGAACAAAATGGAAAGGAATGCGCCTAGCAGCGATTTGAAAAACATGGCGTTTATCTGCTCCTGTCCAAGTCTATGTGTGTCGTTTGGCTTAGTGTGCGTTTGAGAGACAGTGTCAGTGAAAGCGGTGAGAGCGCCCGCGCGGGAGAGGGAGAGCGCTTGGGTGAGAGTACCCAAGCCAGAGAGTAAAAGAGCGTGGCGTGGTTGGGAAAAACTGCAACCCCTAAAGGAGTTGGGCGAAACTTGACCCCAAGCAGAGAGAGTGAGTCAGAAAGTGGGGGTGGAAAGGGTGAGCAAAAAGTATACTTTGAAAAAATGTAAATACTAAGTAAACTTAGTTTTATACCAAAAAAAAAAAATAGAGGACAAACATTTTTTGACAACATAAATAAAAAAGTTACAGAATTGGCAAAAAAGTTACAACGCAACCACTTAGTATGTTTTTATAAGCCAGTATTAGTATGTAGTTTATAATTTTGAATAAAAAAAGAATAAAAAATATTCGTTTTTTAAACGTTTAATATTACTTAAAATGTCTAAAGTAGGTCCCCGCAAACATTAGCATGGAAGCCTAGGTTTTCTGAGTGTAGTTTTAAGTGAGAGAAATCAGGGAGAAAACGAGAGGGGTACAAAGCAAACGGCGCCATCGGCAGAGTTTAAGTCATCAGCGCCAACAGAACGAAAAGAAAAACTGAACACACAACGTCCGCTTTAAGCCTTAAAGTCAATGAGGGAAAACAAAGAAATAAATAATCAATGACTGCTAATATTTATTTATCTATACCCATTCAAATGAAAGGGCTTTTGGGGGTTGGGGTTGTGTGCCCATCGTAATTGCTTTATCATGCGCACTTTTTTAGTGTTGCATACATCCAGGCAACGATTTGGGGGTGTAACCAGCGATTCACACCCATGAAGCACATACATCTCTATGTACTGTGCACATAGGTACAGAAGTATGTACATATGTACACACATAAAAAATGCAAATGGTTTATGGCTGGGGTGTCTGCTGAACATTAGGGGGACGTTAATAAAGGGCAGAGGACTGTGTCCTCGACAACAAGATACCCGGTGTCCACTCAAACTCACATTTATTCCGGGCGAAAGGTAAAAAAATTAAAAGTTAAATATATCTTATTTAACTTTGAAAATTCGAGCTACCTAATTTAGGTCTACCCAATTAAGTATGTATTTATGTCTTTGTATATACGTAAATTAAATACTAAATATTAGAACAAAGCTTTGTTAAGTTATTTAAGTATTAAGTTATCTGATTTATTATTTGCCACTACTTTTTGTTTAGTTTTATAAAGTAATTTAGTTTGTCAAACTGATAGAGTATGGGTTTAAATTGCTAATGCATTAAAGCAAACTTGTAGTTATTTGGAATTAATAAACGGTTTTCGTATGAACATATTTCTAAATTATATTTATTGCTGCTAGTTAATTATATGCTGTTTTGGGTTTTCCTACATCTGAACTCGGAGCAACCTTTCTTCCCGTCCTAGCCAGGTATTTATCTGTTTACATTTTGAGACCCATACCCAGAGGGCAACTCTGAAGGTCCGGCCATATCTACATCTACTGCTGCATATTTCCTGGTAACCCAATAATGATTTACACAAGCAAACCGAGCAAATTATCGGGTAGGTATCGAAAGATAAACCTCGAGCAGGTCACAGAGTCGCAGGGCAGCGATAATGCAGCTAGCTAATAAGCGAGAAAAGCAGGAAAATGCAGTAGCTCGAGTACGTGGGACATTTTACCTGCCTGGGATCAGTCGCATGCAGTCCACGAAAAATACCCAGACCCATAGATTACATCCAGTCGTATGTATTGGGAGAGATAAAAGAGCAGCCCACAACACACAGGCATACACATACTGGCAAACGCATTTTCCTGTTATAGCAGGTAAAAAAATATAAAACGCTAAACTGGAAATATAATGCGTAGCTCAAAAGCCGGGATCAATGAACCTAGCCAATGCAGAGGAGTTTGGGTCTGGGCTTGGTTCTCCACTTTCCAATAAATGCAAGTGGAAAATATCTGTGCAGTTGCCAGGGCAAAAATAAATTATGAAATGCAATCCAGAGTATGGGGGTTGCCCTGGGAATCTAATTATGCAAGCAAATGCAACTAATTAGAATTGATAAGATGAAGGAGCCTGCGGTTAGGGTTTGGCACATAGGGGTTATGTATTCTATATACAAGGGGTGGACCGGTCACACCCTGCCACTACAAAAAAAAAAAAAAAGTTGCAACTTGGCAGGAAGTCAGTGCAATTAAAAAGGCAAAGGCAGGCTCTCGGGGGTTGGGGGTTGTAAACTCACTCACACACACACTCACTCTTACCCAGCGCACACATATATGTATTTAATTGTATTTCTATGTATGTGCTTAAGTAGCTACAGAGAGCGGCGAAACCCACCCCTACAATAAAAAAAAACAAAGTGAAATGCAGCAAATTCAAAAGTTATTTGAGTTCATTGCATTTTCAAGCCACGCAAAACAACAACAGCCACAGCTCACACACACTGCTACACCCACTTTGGGGGTGGGTGGTAATGACTCAAAACATAGAGCGGAATACTCGTATAAAAAAAAAGAGCGCAAAACAAAAACAACGACGAAAAATCGTTAAATTCAGCTTTGATGACAGGGTATACTCGTACTCGCACTCGTACTCGTACTAAGTCGCTCCACCCCTCCGACCAACCCCCGAAAAATTGTAGTGCGGTTTACAAATTGCCTGAAGAAGATGTCTTCGCTGGCCAGAAAGCGAGAATAACAGGGATGGGGGTGGAAAACCCGCTTACACTCACACACATGTCTTTATGCGAATGCCAGTAAGTAGATCCAGATGGAAGCCACCTTTCGCTGACAATTCATGGAAAGTATTGTTCGAGTTTCAAGTGGGTGGTATAATGAAAGAATCCAGAAAACCAAACTAAAGTGCAGAAAACAAATAATAACCGTTAAAAATATGATCCTCAGTTACCACAAGAAAAAAAGTGTTAGCTGCTTTGTAATACAACTGTTTTTACCTTGCAAACTGTCCGAAGTAAACTTTTTAAAAATAATCTCTAAAGATCAATTAATCCATGTGTTGTGGAACTTAAGAAGCTATTTATTATATACTGCTGTTATAGAATTTACTAGCAATAAGCATTTACTTGAACTTGCCTTTGGGTTAGATTTTTGCTTACTCTTCAACATTTTTTGTTTTTATTTATTTCCTGTCTTTATTTCTACGGATCTACATAAGCTTCTGATTTTCATGGGCGTAGCCATTACTGCTTATTCTACGGAGAAAGGTTTTTATACATAAACCAATTGGAGAATATGTTTACTTCTTCTTGCCCTTAATTATTATTATTTTTGTGAAAAAATACTAATTTAACTGTTTATTTATAGTTTGTTTACATTTGAAACGTTGTCTAAATTATTTACTTTCCGACCAAATATCAAGTGCAAAAACAAGCAGTCCTGCTCACTGTATAGCCAACAAAAGTAGTGCCCTTTGCCCCAAAACAAAACCCTGTGTAGGGCATTAGGCGAGGCAGTAGCCGACCCCCTCTGCCGCCACCTCTGCCTCTGCCGCGGTCGCTGCCCGAGTGAGAGTGTATACCCCCTGACGCTGTGACGTCGGCGTCGCTGCCCCAGCGGGCGAAAATAAATCGATAAAAATAAAATAAATTTTTAGTGATTATGTTATACAGACACATGTGCATGCATGTGCATGTGCATGTAGATGTTGGCGTACAGGGCATTATATAGTTTGTAATGTGGGTGGCAGATGCACTTACCGTTGGGCACATTCTGATTAAAGTGATTGCCATTGGTCTGATAGCGCTGCACATGGTTATCGGTGCCGGCCGCTGCCGCAGCGGCTGCTGCATTTGCCGCGGCCGTGGGGGGCGTGCCAAAGGCGCCGGGCGTCTGGGCGTCGAATTTAGCGGCAAACTGATGGATGCCGGAGAAGGGGCCGCCGAACGCGGAGAAGTTCATCATGTCAGGATCGGCGGGGAATCAGTTACGGATTGATTTCGCGGGGGGCCTCGAGGGGCCCTAAGATAATCCTCAAAATCGGTTTAAGCACTATGCACGATCGGGGTTTTTTTTATTATTCTAATTCCTTTCTGCACAGCCCGGAACGATGACGAAGAGTGGGTGGTGGCGGTGGTGGTGGTGTGCTTTCTGTTGTTGTTTTCCTGTTCTCCGCCGCCGCTGGTGGGGGTTGGTTTTCTTTTCTTTGCCTCCTTTCCCTTGCCACACTCACACACTAGCGCACTCGCCACAAACACACACACTCACACACACACACTGGCGCGCGTACGAGCGCACAGTTTTATGCTGTGCTTTGCTTTTTCGGGGGTAGAAAAGCAGAAAAGCGGGCCCAAAGCACAACAACACTCACTCACACACGCGGAGAACCACTTTCAGTTTCGATATTCTCGATTCTCGCGTCTCGCTTCTGGATTCTCGAACTAACACGCACACAGACACCGACACCCCGGCGCAACGGAGGAACGGAGCGGAATCGCACTAAAGTCTCGCTTACGGGTTCGCTTACGACCAGCTCGACGAGGCTCCGACATCAAACTAAAAGTAACATTACAACGAGCCAAAAGAAAGCGGAAACACTGGGCCAGGCAACGCGACGCAGGCGGCAGCAGCGGCAGAGCTGCGACGCAAATGACAGTGACAGTGCCCAGGGGCTTGCAGGGTATATCGGCTCGATTTACTGTTTAAGTGGTTTTCAGTTTGTCTTCTATTTACTTTAACCTGCAGTTAAGATCGATGTTTAGTTTATCAGATCCTCGTTTGATCACATTTTTATCAAATACCTTCATTTGACTGCAGAAATTAAAGTCAAAAAGTTCTCATGTCCTTAATTAAGTAAACGATATGAAATTTTAAAATTGTTTTAGACCATCATCAAATTATTAAAACTGGCTATAGTAGCAACTTAATTTGATGGTAATTTGTCAGCTCGAGTTTGAGAATCAGGACTCACACCGCTTTTACTGGGTAGCAAATGGTCGCATACCAACCAAGAGAACGACTGCAGCATTCTTACATGTTTGTATTAGTTCGCTGTGTGTTTGTACGATTGTCTGTATGTGCGCTGTGTGCCGCTTTGAGGGTGGAAGTTTTTCTACTTCTCTGGAAAATGCGCGTTTATTTGTACGTTCCTTACATTTCGCTGCACCGAGCGCCGGGCATATGACACTGGGCCAGACCCCTGCTCCCGACTCCCAAGATTGGCTTGGTCACTTGGCCAGAATGCTTGGTAGAATATTCACGCGCGATCCGTGCAGGCTAAGTGCAATTTATGCTGGGACTGAGGCTCAGCCAGACACTCAGCGAGACACGAAATTCGCTGTAAGTTATCAGGATGAAAACCGGTTGGGAGCGAAGCATAAAAACTGGTTTCCAGCGAGAGATGAGCTACTTTTTGTGACCGCCGTCGAGGCAACAACAAATAAATTGACAACGCCGAGCAGGATGACTTTTCGAATATGTGGATTTGGTATTAAGTGCAATCCAAAAAAGCCATAAAGACTGCATTTTTTCTTTGGTTATTTAACACATAAATATGTTTTTTTTTAATGAATTTCATGCGCATTTAGAATATCTTATACTGTTTTTGAGGGGATTCACAAAACATTTTTCTTTAAAAAATACCCGATAAAATAGTTTGTTATTTTTGTATTATTTTTTATTAATTTAATAATAAGTAAATAAATAAATTTAAAGCTCATTCATTTTGAAGGGTTTGCCGAGCCTTGTAAAAGAAACCATTAGTTGGCAAGTAGGGTATCCGGAGATCGCTGTGGACTGTCAGCAAGAAAACGCACACACAATGCGCCTTGTATTTTTATTTGGTTTTCCAACTTTTTGGGGTTGTGTGGTATTGCTGTGCACTTATACGTTTACATGTGAATGTCCGTATGTACGAGCGTATGTACCGCGTGTTTCAAGTATCTATGTTTGGTTATATGCTTGTGTGCATGTATCTGGATCTGTTTGCCCACGGATGCGGAGAGGGAAGAGGCGGAGAGAGCAAGAGAGCGTTCTCGGGCGCATTGCTCTCGTTGCATTCAATTCTGCTGTATGTTGTATTAATGAAAGTGAGTCCAGCAGTAAAAGAAAGCAGGCCGTGGCTCAGCTGCAGTACGACAAGTTCTGTTTCTGATTCTGCTTCTGGTTCTGTTCTCCTCCCACCGGTTTGCAAGTGTTTTCATGTTTGCCAGACCCACTGAAAAGGGTTCGAGATCGGTAAATTAACGCCCCTTAAGATTTTCGACCCATTTTCAGAATACTGATCCGTCTTCAACCTGCAGTTTTCTAAGGGAATTAAATGACAGATCAGTTAATTTTAAAGAAAAATTAAAAAAAAATTGTAACTCTTTTGATCAAGTACTGTACATACATATGTTCAAGATCAAATCTATTAAAAATAAATTTCTTTTTAGGTGATCTATGGTGCAATTTCCCATGTTCTTTCAGTCAACAATGGAAGATTGTTTTGATGGAAAATCATATCTTGTAACCAAAAACCAGATCCAATAAGATATAAAATGCTTACATATTTAGTGCATATACAAAATTTAAACATATAAAGCATCAAGTGCAGGGCACTGGCTAGTCGTCCGAACTACAACTCATTTTTTGTGTTAATGCACACATATACAAACACTTGCATAAATGCCAGTGTGTGCATGTCTGTATGTCTTTCTCATTCTTGTTTTTTCCTGTTGCAGTCTTGTCTTCTACTCGTTTTATTAAGAGGGTTGGAGTTTTTTTACGTTCTCTCACATTCTGCTTGCTTCGTCTCTCACTCTCTAGCTCGCTCCCACTCTTGCGCCCTCTCTTTCTGCCGCGCTTGAACCTTTGAATGCAATGCTTTGTTTAGCTTGATTTTCGAGCAATTGCAACTGTTACATGTGTTTATCTAGAATTTATATGCACATTTTCCAATTATGAATTATTGCCCGGCTACCGGGTAATTTACTCAGAATATCGGTTAATATTCCTTAAACTCGATCACCGGCACTATCAAGTATTCAGATACACTCACACACATGGACACCAAATGTACCTGCAGACACATATTTACACTATGTATATTAATGTTATGATGTCTGTATGTATGTTACTCGTTTCCCTATTCAGCATCCTCTCCAAACCTTCGTCCCCATCTCACTCGCACACATTAATCATGAGCATGCAGGTTCCCGTACTCCTCCGAATCTTTTTAGCTAATACCCGACTTAGGACCACGAAAACCCTTTCCTATTCGGCCAAGATAAACCCTATCACCACTTGCAATAATTGAAAATGTCAAGGACCATCACTCAATGAGCTTAGGATAAAATAAAAATTCGTTTCTTAATGGCGTTTATTCATTTTATTAATTATCATGAGCTGTTAGTGGGCTGAAAGGCTTACGGCAAAAAGTTGGGCGTTGGGAGGGGAATTTAATCTATGCTAATTGAAAAAGACAGGCACAGCATTGCAAAAAAATATTAAGCCCACCTTACATAAATATCTTTCCTAATACACATTTATAAATGTTTATGTTCTGTTTATTTTATAAATAGCCATATATTGTTATTTGTATGCCATATGGATATGATCCTTGGACCAGTAGAGCACCCCCAAAACATAACATTATGGATTACATGTTTAATTTTTATATAAGTTAGATTACGTATGTATGTATAATATTTTGTCCTTATTTTTCTGTGCAATATTTGTACACAATGTATTTATAAAAGGTAAGAAATAATGACTGTAGAAAACAAGTAGAAACTAAATAACCTACAAAAAATATATACCAAGATCATTGATTTTAAGGTTAATATCACAAAAAATTATTCAAATGAATTGTTACTAAGCGCAAATGAATGGATGAGTCAAGCGGAGGCAGGCATTACAAAATCATAATACACATTACCGACTATATAAATATCAATACTTTCTGTTCTTTAGCTATTTTGAGTATTCAGGATAGAATATTTAACGCTTGAGATATATGGAAATATAATTATCTATTTGTAAATGGAGTATATGTGGCTATAGCCACTTTAGCCCAGCGCCGCCGATAGCAGAGGCTCCCAGGCCCTATTGGTATCCATATAGAGCTGGTTGCACTGCTCGGCCAGAGAGTCACCGTCGTCTAGTATAGTTATTGGAAATAGATCGTTCTGTGGATATTAAAACAATTAAAATATTTTTATATATTTTATAACCTAGCAGTAACTCACATTTTTAGACTGCCAAAGTTGCTCTAGCAACCGCAGAAAACGTTGCATTTCCATGCTGCTCGCAAAAAAGATCACCAGATCGTCCAGATTTTCTAGTGGAGCCTCCTGACAGGAGAACTCCAATATGCACCACCAAGTTTCGCTGCGCGAGGTAATCTTAATGCCCGTCATCGCTTTTATGTCGGCACAGGTGAGTATCGCCAGACCAGAGTTCTTTCCATAAACACTTGTCATTCGCTGCGACTTTCCAGGTGAAGAAGCAACTTCCTTTAAAGCAGCAGGCTCGTTGATTTGCCTAGTGGGTGTTGAGCTCAGCGAGGGGTACGAGTGCTGAGTGCCACGTGTTGGTGTACTTATAGTAGAGCCCATCTGCAAATGAAGCACCAAATTAAGATTATTTAAATCTCTTGAAGTTTTAAATATCATTCTTACCAAGCTGCTGGTTTCAAAAACACTGAGCATATCCTCCTCGAGAACGACTTCTCTGTTCTCCGGAACAGCTGCACTGTTGTCCGTCTGTTGGCTAACTTGCCGTAGAGGAGCCGAAAAGTCTTCGCGCAAGGTTATCAAATGGTTTTCTGTAACAATCAAAGTGCATCCGAGGGTTTTGTGCTTCTCTTCCTGAACCACAAGCTAGAAGCAGCAAGAAAAGTGTTTATGACATGTGAATATTTTTTATAAATTGCATACTTACACCACTAGCAGATTGCAGGAGGGCCTGGAGCCATTCGGAGGCCACATACTCGTCTGGTGCTGCCATTTGCAAGACTTCGCCCTTCAGCGTAATCTCGAAACAGTGTGGGCGCTCCGATTTTACAGTCCGCTGGGCGCCTTGGCACTCGGCAAGGGCCATGGCCCAGCTGGGGAGCCTTTGGGTGGAGTCGTTGAACATGTACAATACACCAGCTCTGAAATATATACATTTTAAGTAAGATTTTCTTTAAAACCACAGAATTAATTTACTTCAGTAGAAAGTATCCTGGTTGCCAGTATATTCTTGCCGCAGCTGATGTGCTAGTGTTCTGCTTGAGTCGTCGATGCATGAGGAATCCCTTAATAGTGGGTCCCAAAAGTTCGCTGGGCGATTCGACTCGCATGGCGCCACCAGCTGGCACATTTACAACTGCATAGAACAGCCAGTGCTCAGCTACGCCCACACAACTGTTGGCGCGGACGAAAGCCTGAAGTGGAGCCAAATGTTCTAGGGTTAGTTGACCAACTGCAGGCAGGGTGGAGCCACTGCGTCTGGCACACAACTCCAGATTTGCCACCAGGGATCCGGCTGGATAGGGTCCACCCGCGAGCAGGACCTGCTGCATATCTCGAGTGCTGTTGCTTAGCAAAACAGTGTTGCCGAAGGGTCCCATCTAAAAGGATTATAAGTAACAAAATAATTAACTATTTTTAAATGAAAAACAACAAGTGGTGACACTTACCAGTATGACATCCAAGTCCTTGTAGGCCAACACAAACTTGGCACACAGATTATTTCGATCCAAGTTTGCAACATACAGAGATTTATCAGTTAGTAGGACAAGCACAGGTGTCATAATACCATCAACACTATAGCCTGTATACAGTTTAAACACCTAAAATAAAAGGGATTTATTAAATGGTGATTATAGGTAGCTAAAAAATTTTTATAAAGTACCTTCATAAGCTGCTCATTTGATTGCTGCAAATTGAGCAAAGATTTTCCTTTGAAAACATCAATCGAGATCTCTCCGATGCCAAGTTCAAAATTCGAGCTGCCCGGCAAATCGTTATCCAAACTAATGGCAAGTTCCCGGCGTGGCGAATTCGTGCCGCACATCTCAATCTCCATGGCGATCTCTGCGTTAAGGTCATCTATCAACTCGTAGTTCTTTGGCCTTGCACCCTTTACATAGAGATCGGATCCCGTGGTCCTCTGTTCGGTTCGCAATTTGTCGGCGAAGAAATTATTCTTGCGTATGGAAGTCTCCATGATTTTCTTCTGCGTGACATTGCGAAGGAATCGATTTATCAGCGAGGTTTTGGCCGCCGGAGCAGGCGGCTTCAGCAAATGAGCATAGTCCACATCTGTATAATCTACGATGACCAAATCGCTGTCCATTGAACGCTTATCGTTAGTCGTATCCGTGGTTGTGATGGTTAGTATGTCGTCAAATTCCTCACTAAGGATGGTGCTCTTTGAATCGCGTCCACTGCCTCCTGGTCCACCGCGTCCCGCTGACAAGTAGGTGCTGGGACTGTGGAGACTCCTGCTTTGATGGGAATGTTGTTGGTCGTAGTAGCGCGGTGGCTGCAGAGGTTGTCCGCGCTTCTTGAGCGGAGAAGGAAGATGACGCGAGTGTCGCTCCGCATTGCTTAGCTGTGGGTTCATTGCCATCTGATGGTTGCTGCTAGTGTTGGTATTGGAACTGGGTTCCGATATGGTGGATGAGGAGTAATTCCGCTGAAGCTTGCCTGCGGGCGGTGCTTGCTGCTGCGGCTTTGAAGGTTTCGAAGCTGTAAACGGAGCATAATGGCGGTTGTTAGATTTTGGGTACAATTTTAAAAACAAATGCATGACTGTATTAGAACTGTATAGCAATAAAACTTGTCAATGTATAATAAAAATAAATTAGGAATACTTGGATGCCATTAAATGAAGAAAGCACAATGTATACTATATATGCACATAATTATAATCTTGTTATTTAGTGGCTTACCGAAATGGTTATTTGTGGCTGCCGGCTCGTCCTTCTCAACTGGTGTTCCCACAGCACTTGTGCTCTCCTTGAAGCTGCGAAAGAAGTTGCTGAACGTCTTGGCAATGGGAGCATCCAAGAAGGACTTCTTGATGTGACTAGCTGCCGGCTCCGCGACAGGAGTATTTTGCTCCAGCAAACTTGCTACGCTGGTGTGCTGGATGCCGGAGGAGAGTTCCGATTGTGGTTCACCCGTCTCATAGGACACTCCAGTGTGCTCGAAGACGGTGCTCTCGCAATTAATTATAAACTTGCTGCGGAACTCGCCCTGTGCGCTGCCCATTGGCACTGTTTCCTTATCGAACTCTTCTTGGCGGTGTAACATGTGCGACTGTTTTGATTCCATCGGAGATGCCTCCGTGGAGCTGGCACCATCGTCTTCGTTCTTATGTCGCAGTTGCTCGTCCACGTTGTGTACAAATTTCTTGACTGGTTGTGCCTGTTTGCTGCCATCCAGACTCTTGCTGAGGAACGGCTTAGCTTTGAGCGGTGGTGACTCGGCCACTGGCCGCGCTTTGTGCTCAGGAGTTTGCTCCAGCTCGGGAACGCACTCCACCACGGATTGCAGATCCTCGGAGCCCTCGGGCACTCCACGCTCTGGCAGAGGCATGGTGAAGATACTCTTCAGCGAGCCAAAGATCATCTTGCTACTGTTGTCCAGCAACTGGTGCTTGATGTCGTGCACGTTGAACTTCTTCACCCGCCCATTGAGATCCTGCTCGAGTATTACGTTCGTCTGTCGTTTGGTTTTCTTCAAGCAACTCGACTTGGGCTTTTTCTCCTTGTTCCAAACTGACTTCACCTTGGGACTGTCAGCATCTCCAATATTGGGCTCAGAATAGTAACAGTTCTCACCTGAGAAAAGTATTATTTGAAAGATAAGTATTCAAATTAGAAAATTATTGCTTAAATACTGTAATAAACAAACATGCGTTTATACAGACTTAAAACTCGTTATCTTACCGATTAAGTTGTTGTTGGCATTGCTCATACCAATGCAATCGCAAGAGCTGCTTTTAGCTTGCTCGTATTGCTTGCGATTTGCATTTGAGTTCTTGTCCTGCTCGTCGGAGTCCAGGCTGGAGTTGGAGCTGCTGCAGACACACTTGTAGAGCCGCGGTGGCTCATCCTTTTTCTCGCTAGCAGGTCCGTATTCGAAGACTCCCGAGGTGTCATAGTGCAAGCCGTGCGCTTCGTCCGTATCAAAAATGTTGTCGTAGTCCAGGACATCTGAACAGGCATTTCGGTAGACCAAGTGCCTCTTTCGCCTGGCTCCTCCGCCTCCGGCTGCCTCTTCACCATCATCCTCTATGCCAGCTGCACTGATTTCGTTGGGTCCCTCTGGCCTCTCTCGATCTGGACACCAAGAATAGCGACCCGGAGCACCGGCCACGCCCGCAGAGTTGGCAAAGGCCAATTTTCTTCCGTTCTTGTAGGTTATAAAGCCATGCTCAATGTGAATGTTGTCGGTCCGTGTGTTCTTCAGTATGTCCTCGTGAAAGGACACTCGTTTCTTGGGGGTTTTGGAGGCGGAAGAGGCTTTGTGCACCTTTCGTCGGTAGACTATCTTCTCGGTGGTGTCGAACGTAGAGCACTCGCTGATAGTCATGGACTCCTCAGGCGCTGCAGTTACATTGGAGTTGGGATCCACAGAGGCGAGGGGCAGGGGTCGCACGTTCTCCTCATATGAGCAGATGGACTCCACCATCACGTCGCTGTTCTCCGAGTCCAGGAGTTGAACTCCCGAATCGCTGGGCGTGGTGTCTTCCAATGTGCTGCTGTTCAGGCTGGAGCTCATCTTGTCCATGCCCATATTGTTGTTGGCCTTCGGATACAGTGGGGATTCCATGATCGATTCGATTTTCCACTTGTCAAGAGTTATTTGCGTAGTTGATTTCACCTAGACACCTTTGGAAAAATTTTAAAGTCGTTAAACCATTATTTGTGTATCTCGGCGTTCTTGCTATTAATCAATATCCACAAGTTGCACAATGCGCCGCAGTGAAATCGCGTCACTGCACAAAGGAAAATGACCCCTGACCCCCACCCGCTTGTAAAATCGCACCGGGATTAATTTACAATCTGTTGTTTTCGTCACTTACCTGCGATTTTATCCCAGGATTCCATTTTACTTTTGATCTCGGTTGTTTCGTTTTTCGTTTCTACCAGTTTTACGGTTTTTTATTTATAGATATTTCTTTACTTTTGCATTTTAAAATTGCCAAAAAAAAGAACCCTTGGCAAGTGAAACAATCAATATTTTGACCTTATAGAGTTGCCAATGATGTAAACAGCTGATTGCGCGCCAGTGCTGCCAGATTCAAAAGTGGTTGGCAACACCTACCGTTACACTGATGGGAAGTTCCGGTTTAAACAAATCGTGCTGGGTTAAAAAATATGATTTAGAGAATTTAATTTCAAAATTTATTTCGACAGTAATAATGATTCTTCTTGATTGGAAAATGTCAATATAAATAAGTTGTTGCTAATCAAAAGGTGCCTTTATTACTGATTACTGATTCAAAACCATATTAAGATAAAAAAAAAAGAGTAACTTGTGGTAAGCTTTTAGCTGTTAGAGAACTAAAGAAAACGCCAGATTTTCAACCTAATAGGAGAAAGCCAGAACGTACTGTAAACACAACTATATAACCCTTCGGTTAAAGCAAACATCGGAACTTACCCGATAAAACCGTTTGTGACATCGGTTGTTGGCGCCTATTTTCGCAATTTCGCGAAGACAATTTGTGTTTCATATTTTATAGATAGTTTTCGAAAATACAAAGTGAACATTCAAATTAATGCCCTTGTCACTGGGTACGCACATCATTTCCTCTTTGTCATTTCGCTGGCCGGGGTCAGTTGTCAATTTGAAAAGTAGTGTAGGCGAATGCCAATGAAAACGAATGAAACCTTAGAAATTAATTTATCACACTTTGCAGCACACATCACAATCGTCGCGATAACTCTGCCGTTTGTTTATTGGTTTTTGCAGCGGGACAAGTAAAATATAATTCCCGCATAGCATTCGTTAAGTAATCATATCAAGTTCATTTTCAAGCGCCTTCAGATATGAGCGATTTTGGCAAATGACATGGACTGCGGTGCAATGTGTCCCAGAAGACTATTACTAAAGTGGAAGGTAGTGTGCTCATAATGAAAAGTCCAACTAGCAAATTGGTAGAATTCAGGTTCCTGATTGCGTTGGCAATATATTTGCACGCGCTGGAGCAATCGATCCAGCAGTGCCATTGTGTTCATGGTTTCAGGTGAGTGCGAGTGCGTTTGTCCACTTTCATCAGATTTACCCCACAAGGCTGTTCGAATACCCGAATACCTGCAGAAACAATACGGAGAGCGCCGAGCTGGTCTCCCACTACGAGTCGAGCCTCTCACTTCCGGACATTCTGCCCATTCCCTCGAAGACCTACGACAAGAATCGGGCTCCCAAGCTCCTGGGCCAGCCCACTGTGGTCTACTTCCATGTCACGGTCCTCTCGCTGGACTCCATCAACGAGGAGTCCATGGTGGGTTATCAATTCATACTTCCATTTCTATATCTATCGATCCTTTTCTCTTAAACGCACAGTTGAATTTTTAAATCTTTTCTTAATATTCCATTCTTTGATTAGACCTATGTGACGGACATCTTCCTTGCACAAAGCTGGCGTGATCCTCGCCTGCGGCTGCCGGAGAACATGAGCGAACAGTATCGCATCCTGGATGTGGACTGGCTGCACAGCATCTGGCGGCCCGATTGCTTCTTCAAGAACGCCAAGAAGGTCACCTTCCACGAGATGAGCATTCCGAATCACTATCTCTGGTTGTACCACGACAAAACGCTGCTCTACATGTCCAAGCTCACTTTGGTACTGTCATGTGCCATGAAGTTCGAGTCCTATCCACATGACACGCAAATCTGCTCCATGATGATCGAAAGTTGTAGGTGGAAATGTGAAGGTTTCCTTATCCTGTCCCTGCTAGTCCTCTATTGCTTGAAAGTTTTCCTAACGCTTCTTGGAAAATAATTATTATATAGATTTTAAAGTAAGAACTTAACGAGCTACGATTGGCAGTATCGCATACGGTGGAGGATTTGGTTTTCATTTGGAATATGACCGACCCACTTGTGGTCAATGCGGAGATCGAGCTGCCCCAGCTGGACATATCAAATAACTACACAACCGATTGCACCATAGAGTACTCAACGGGTAAGGATATAAATTATTAAACTGTTCTATATTTTAGAATTGATTCCTGGTATTTAATATTTTTTTTGAACCACAAATTATATTCACTTAACTTTACTATTTTTTTTAGGCAACTTCACCTGCCTGGCCATTGTGTTCAATTTGCGACGACGTTTGGGTTACCACTTGTTCCACACCTACATTCCCTCGGCTCTGATCGTGGTCATGTCGTGGATATCATTTTGGATAAAGCCAGAGGCGATTCCAGCCCGAGTTACCCTGGGAGTGACCTCGCTGCTGACCCTGGCCACCCAGAACACCCAGTCGCAACAATCGCTGCCGCCCGTGTCGTACGTGAAGGCGATAGACGTTTGGATGTCGTCCTGTTCGGTGTTCGTTTTCCTCTCGCTGATGGAGTTCGCGGTGGTCAACAACTTTATGGGACCGGTGGCCACCAAGGCAATGAAGGGATATTCGGACGAGAACATCAGTGACCTGGACGACCTTAAGGTGAGGTTTTCGGTTGTATGGTAGTATTCCCTTTGACTGACGCCTTTCAGTCTGTCCTACAGCATCATCGGGAATCGATTATTGAGCCCCAGTACGACACTTTCTGCCATGGCCATGCCACAGCCATTTATATAGACAAATTCTCGCGCTTTTTCTTCCCGTTTTCGTTCTTCATACTTAATATTGTCTACTGGACAACGTTCCTATGATGGATGGCAAAGTTTCATCGAAGGAATAGAACGCAAACAATAATAATACCAAGCGCATTTGTTTAAAAATGTATATTATCGTTTGTAAGCCACAAATAATTGCATTAAAGTATGTATTATATTGATTACCATGTAGTATATAAATAAAGGAAAGCGTTTAATAATAGGGTTTAGTTTAAAGGAAGCAATCAAGAAATGCGTTTCAATTGCGCAACAAAGGTGGAATAATCTTTGGTAAATTCACTATAAACCTATATAGTTCAGGCATAAGGATTATGTATATGTATAAAAAAAATGATATCAAAAACTTGCGGGCGTGGCTTTTCCATTTTATCGTTAATTTATCATATAGTCTGGTATTTGTTTGTTTATATAATCACATCATTTTATAGTTTCTTTACATTCACATTTACAGATGGATTTCATTCTTTAACTAACTTTTCGCTTTTTGCTGGGCATAATTGTTGCTAACATTTATGTTAATGGGTGCGAGCGATTTCTTAAATCAACTAAGGAAATTCTAAGGTGATAGTTTAGCTATGATATGGTGTCAGAGCCACAGATTCAAAATATTAATACGTAGAACTGGAAACATACTGATTTACACTACAACAAAACTTCCGAATGGCATACAGAACGCAAAGGAAAATGTTGAAAAAATAATGATATTTTCCCCGTCTGTTTATTGCAAACACGCCTGCAACTTCTCGATCCATTCCTGTGCAAGATTTGCATTGATCGCGTAGAAATTATAGGTGCGCTTTGATGTTTTAAGCTAAAAGTAAACGAAGAACAGGTCAAATTTTATAAAGCTCTGTTTTGAAAACACGACTTACATCAAAAAATCCTTTCTCGTCTATGCTTTTTGCGCCAATTTGTGCAGGTTGTGCGGCAGTTACTGATTGCACCTCAGCCAGTTCTGTTGATAAATTAGTTAATTAGTACACTGTTTTTAAAATATCTAATAATTATATTTACCAATTATGCCCTTGGGAGCAGTGTCCTCAGAAGTGTCATAGTATCGCAGTTGATGCTTTATCGAGTCCAGGACGAACCAGCGTTGTTTCCATCCTTTGAGCAGTGCACCACGTTTGTACAGATGTCTATATAAAGAATAAAATTAAAAGTTTAATTAGTATTCATTAAATAATGATGCTTACTACTAGATTTTTAATCAATTCAATAATTTTATGAAACAGAAAACAAAACAAAACAATAAAACTGGTTTGGACAGATTCTTTTTCTCGTAAATGGAACTTTCCTAAATGACTGTTCACTTTTTTGGAAGCTCTTGGAGATTAAAACTCACCCCTCGTGCGTCCGATTTTCGGCAACGTTGCTGCTAAACTGGTTGTAGAAATGGTGGCTGGAGGTTCGCGCCGTCGTGGCGGCACTGGAAGCGATGCTGGCCGTGTCGCCCTGCGACATGTTCACATTTGGCGGGCCGACAGCGCCGTCGATGGCCTTGTACTTTGTGCAGTTCTTCATGGAGTGCTCGGTGCACTTTTCGTGGTAGGAGTTGCCGCAATCCATGCACCGATAGCAGACCGGTCCCCAGAGCAGCTTGCTGCAGTGGTTGCAGTTGGTGGGCGTGGTGTACGGATGCTTCTCGAACCGATGAGGATGGAAGTACTTGTCCTGGTATCCCGCCAGTCGACCCTTCATGATAATCTCTAATGTAGAGCGCTTGTGCTGATGCGTCTGCACAAAGATGTTGCCCAGCGAACTGTTTCGAGCAACTGGCTCTAGTTGTGGCACCTCCAGACTGTTCCACACCTGTAGCCACTTTTGCATAAGATGTCCTCGCTCCGTCTCCGCTTGCTTCACCTCGCTCAGCAGGCAAACATAGGCATTGGGGTTGCACTTCTCCACGTTGTCATAGCCCGCCGTAATTACCATGCGTTTTCCCTTCATCTCGGACAGATCGTTTTCGTCATCCACAGTGGTCACTTCCAGATCGTACGGCGCTCCCTGTGCCAACTCCTCGTTGGTATAGTAGCTCCACAGATCCAAGTTGGACACATTGCTCTGCGGTCGCAACGTAACGTTTTTGTCACCAGAATATAGGAAATTGTAGAATATTGGTGTTTTTATGTGCTGCCTTTCGATATAATCGAATATGGAGTGACCGATGCGATTCAGGGGCGCAGGAGTCCTCTGGCTTCTGATGTCCAGCGGATAGACACTGCACTCGTCATCGGAGCCATTGGACGCCATGCCGCCGGTTCCGAAAATATGCTTGGCATTCAGTGATCCTCGCTTATCCTCCATCGCTGCGATGCCCGAATCAGAGCGCTCAAGCTCGCAATCGAAAAGGAACGTGCGGAACCGACATGACACCGAATGGTAGGCTAGGAATCTCAAATAGAAATCGTTAAATTCGAAGGCCATTGGAAACTGGCGCTGCAGCTGATGAACCACGTCCAGGAACTGCAGGAAAGTGGGTGCGAACGCAATGTTTGTGTTTGCATGCGAGGGCTTCAAATTGCTACGATGCGCAAAGCGATGGCCAAAGGCCAGCCACTCCTTCTCCACCAGCACACGAAAGCCATCTAGGCTTCGGTAATAGGGATCCAGGCACAGCTGGGCAATCGAACTAAGCTGAGCAGTCACATCGGAGCCATCCTCCAGGGACAGCATCACGCTGCTCTCCTGCAGATCGATGAGGTCCACCACCGCACCCGAGAGCTGCATAAGCGAGGAGATCTGCTGCAGCCAATCGGATTGCTCCACCATCTTGGCGAAGGTCTGGCCATCCGCTTCGTTGGTATTGTGTGATGGCATACAGGCCCGAATCAACTTCTTGAAGGCCGGTCTCGATTGCCTGATGTCCGGATAGTCCACGGGTATAAAGTCCGCACAGAAGTCCACATTCATGTTCGACTTGGCCTGAGATTTTTCTCCTAGGAAATTGAGAAAGTATTAGTAATGACGATCGAAGTCTTAACGATCTTAACTCACCCAATGCGTAAAGACGCATCTTGCGGAAGGCGTGTGCTGATGAGTTCTTGGAATTGCTCTTCATGGTGCCGCCCTTGCCTCCCTGACTGGATTTGCTGCCATCGCTGACATCCAGATTGTTTTTGTGCTTGCGCGACAGCTCCGGAGTAAGCGGCTGTCGGTCGTCGGAAGGTCCATGACCCATCAACGAGCTCATCGAGAGGTTCATTCCGGAGTACTGATTGAGAGCCAGCGGCGTTAGCTTCGGCATCGTGTTGATCAGGGCTAGGAAGTACTTGTCCTGCTCAGGATAATGCGTCACATCGTGATGGGCGTTCGTGTTGCTTCCCGTGGTATTCTTCAGCATTCCGATGACCGACTTGCTGTTGGGTTGTCCACCTCGGATGAGAAGGGCTCCGTTCGCATGTCGCCACGTGGGCAGTGGTATGCGCTGGCCCTTGAAACACCGAACCAGATGCATTATCGCCGCATCGCTGCACTGCACGGGTGCCACAATAATCGCAGGATAGGAGCGGCAGGCGGCGTAACTGGTATTAACATTGCTAATACGGAATCCACGCTGCGACTCCGCATCGAAACCGAGTCGCTTCCAATCCTGCACGTAGCTCCTTTCCCGCATTCTTTCCACATCCTTAGTCGTTAGCAATCTGGGCATGGCATTGTTTTGAGTTTCGAATTCATCTCCATCCTCCAGTTCATCGTCGATGGACTGCGTTTCCTGGGCATCTGTTCCATAGTCATAGTCAGAGACCAACTTGCGCTTGGTCTGCTGCTTCTGCTTGAATCCCGCCTTCTTCGCCCCGCGGAGCAGCGTCTTTTTGGCGAATCCCTTTAAGGTGGAGTACTTCTCCTTTGTTTTTAACGGAGCCACACCCTGGAGCATTGTGCCGTACGATTGAAACGCGAAGTACTCAAACTCATCGAACGGATGACGAGCTTTGCTCAATATCTTCCTGAAGCTCTCTATCTGCTCCGGAGTCACTTCCGGATCGAAGGCAACCTTGATAAGCTGAAAGCTGCTGGAACGCAGCTGCAGTCCCTCGGTCAGCGTTTGGTCCAGGTGAGCCAGGTACAGTACCGATATCTTCTTCTCCTTCAGCAGGGAAGCAATTGGAAAGGTGCGCACGATAATCTGCTCGCAGAAGAACGGATCACAAGGTGTGCCCTTGAAAACCACACGGTAGTTGGTGAGGAACAGGGCTCCCTCGGCGGGTATCAGGCACTGGGTTTCGTCCTCGCGTCCATCCGGCATGAGGAAACAGCGCAGGTGGTCGGTGACCAGGTCCTCTCCCGGCAGAAGGCAAGGTGTCTGAATCTTCGGCTTCTGCACATGCGGATGACGCTTGGCCTCCAGATAAACCGGCGCCAGGGATTCAATGTGCATGTGCACCACTCCTGGCACCATGTCGTGCAGGTTGCGTATGTGGTCCGAGGTAACTCCTCCTTCGGTACAAACGCAGTCAATGAAGCGGGATATTTTCTTTGCAACTGCGACGCCAATTTCCGTGGCATTGTTCTCCACGAATCCTTCGTCGGAATGTTCGCTTAGGCTGTGCGAGCCCATAATACTATAATTGAAAAATAATTGGCATTATTTAAAATAAGTACACGCATTTCCTGGAATTCTCACCTATTGGAAACACTCTGGTTTTCCTCCAGACGAAACGCAGGCTTCGGCTTACTAGCGGCATCCACATTTACGTCGAGCGGAATCAGCAGGGAGACCATGCGGTTGGCAAAGTGAATGGCCTGGCTGTACAACGTGGACTCCTCCGACTTGGCCAGCTCGGCCTTTTTCTCCTCTTCGATGGTGGGACTTTTGCGCAGTTGCTCGGCCGTAATCTCAAGTGCCGTGGGCTCCTCCAAAGGAACCTCGTCCAGCACACAGTTGGCCTCCTTTTGATGCTCGTTCTGGCGACGGTGAAGCAGATACAAAGATTTAATCTGACCCTGAACATCCTGAAAGAATGTGGACTCCCAAAACTGCAAATTTTTCCATATGGCGTGATCCTGAATCTCTGTGTAGGCGAACTGCACCACTCCAGTGGACAGCTTCCGGCAAAAGATGGTGGACATGGGCAGCAGAGCCGCCGCCACGGTGTACTCATCGATCCCGGATGATTTATGTAGCGCCTTGTTCATAAATCGCACAACCAACTCGAATTGCTGATGGTCCAGCACCGCCTTGTTGCCATGCACGTAACCAAAGAACTCGCGGCAGAGGATCAACCTCGCATCCCGATGCATCAGGGTGCGCATCACAGCCGGCAACAGTTTCCTGGCATCCGTAATCCGGTTCTCGAAGATGTACGACACACAGATGCGCAGCACCTCCAGTCTTCGGGCGGAGTTTTGGACATTGGGACGCACGTCCAAGGCCTCGGGCAACCTGGGTCCCATCGGAATGATCCGGTGCTGATTACGCGTCACATGGAAGCGCTGTGGCACTCCGTTCTTTCGTATTCCCTCCTGAATGATAAGCTCAACCTTCTCGGTGCTAATTCGCGGGAAGGCGGGCTGGTGGATTCGCTGGAAGGCACCCTCAGGCGGGCGGAGAACCTTCTGCATGTAGCTAGTGTGAGCCAAGCTGCCTTCGTTCTCATAAAGAACGCGTCCCAGTTCCTGGATATGTGTGAGTATCTAAAATAATAGTATTTAATTAATAACAAGCATATAATAGTACAAGTTCCACTTACGAGATTCCGATTCTGGGCCTCCGTCTTGACCAGCTCGTTCATCGAGCTGTAGAGCTCATCCCAGGCATCGGAGGCACGCCACGGAGGTCCTCGCTCGTTGACAAATGTGGTGAAGAACATGCTATCCAGAACGCGAAACAGAAATTCGCTCTCGATCATATCACGCGCACCCAGAAAACCAGCCTTGTGGAAGGTTATCACTGGCTTGGGATGGATCCGAATGATCGTCAAGCAGGAGCGATAGCCCTGTAGCAGTTGAGCGAAGAGACGCATGAAGATGGCGCGAAGTTCCTTGTCGATCTGGGCGTCAGTCTTGGCCAGAGCAGACGGCCGCTCGAGCGTGGGGAATGCCAGATCCGCCTGAGCCAGATTCGGGAAAAGGATCATGCTGAGCTGCTCCTGCGTCTGCTCCCACAGTGGTGAGGGAAGTATAGGAACGGGTGGAGTGAGAGTGTCGGGAATGGTTACTAGGCCGCCATCCAAGTCCACGACGATTGCCTCGAGCAGATCGGGAATCTCAGATTGCAGCGAACTGTGTATGCCCATGATGAACGGGGTGGGTGTGGAGAGCACTTCCATCAGTGGCGCCGGCAGAATGGGTATATAAACGTGTGTATACCGGAAGGGATACATCAGAGCCACCAAAGCTCGGCAACTGTCCGTCAAGTGCCAATAGCATTTGGAGAGGAACAATATCTTGTTCTCCGTCATTACGGCGCAGAGCAGGATCAACACATTCTTGATGCCCAGCTGCTTGAAGAGGAAGTGCACTCCACTGCCCGTGGTGGGCAGCGAGGAGCTCTGCGGAGGCTGCAGCGACTGTTTATCTCCCGCTCCAATGGAGAAGCGCACCTGCGGTCCACCCGCTGGAGGAACTTGGATGCATCCCAGAATGTTGCCAATAAGTGTCTCCAAGCCGTAGGACAGGTTCTCAATGTACACGGTATAAATGGTGCCCAGGCAATTCTGTAAATTGAACAATAGGATTAAAATAGGTTGCTTCTAAATAGAACATTTAGTAAAAGCGAATCTCACTTTAAATATCTCGGCACAGTCCAATCGTGAAATGAGCACCAGGCACTTTGGAGCATACATAACGCTGTGGTGCGTTATGGACGCCGGCGAGGCAGTTGCACCTAAGCCATCCGTTGAGGAGGGGGTGGCCCCCAGCAGCCTGCTGCTCCCGATCGTTTCATCCTCGTCGTCCACGCTGCGCGTCTGCGTGATGGCCACCGTCTCGTGGAAACTCAAGCAGGCACAATAGTGCTTGTTGGCATCGATGTCCGTCAGCACGGAGACGAAGAACTTGGGCTCCTGCTTTTCGTACGATAAATTCCATCCCAGCGGCTGGCAGAACTGAGGAAAACGATAAGGTAAGCTCAGATATGCTTAAGAAATAAATTTTATGGAACGCACCCATTCAATGCCCTCGATAAACGGAGTGTCCGGCCAATCTTTCTCGGGAAAGCGCTGCACGATCTTGCCGCTCGTTGGCTGGCCGCCCACATTGCTGGCGGTCTCTGAGGGAATTGAGGGATCGGAGGAAGTCAGGGAATTACTAATTATGTCTGGGTATCGCGACTGAATGCACTCACTCTCCTTATCGCTGTCGTATCCGACTATTACGAAGTAATCAGCGAGCCGGGACATCTTGCCCAGCACATTGCCGGCTCGTCGTCGTCCAGGATCTTGTGGTTACTTGCTGGCCAAATCTGATAAAATAAAGAGTACTAGATTTTTATTTTATTTTGGTTGTTTTTTTTTTTTTTTTGGTCTACAGAAGGGGGCTGCGGCAGATGGCTACTATTCGCCAATGCCGTCATCCAATTTGATATGCTAATTAGGCTCTGTCTCTACGTTCGGCATACATGATTAGCTCGAAGGCGATCGACTGGCCAAATTGTTATTGTATTGTCTATAGACCCCGGAGGCGTTTACGATTCTTGGTCTTCACTCTTTTTTTTTTTAACCACACCCCGCCACGCAAAGTAACTAAAGGGCGCCGGGATTGTATGGGCACTCTATATATACATTAGCGCACACACCTCGCAGCCGGCTGCAGCTGAAATCCCCGCTCACTGCCTAAAAATCTCGGGGAATTCGGGACTACAATTATTATTTTTAAGTTTGCATAGAAAATGAGAGATGCAATACACAATTATTACTAAGAGTTTTGCAACACTGTTTGCATCAGCTGAGAGATTTTTGCGATAGTTTATTGGCGGTCTCGGAACTATCGATAGCTCTTATTGCGGTTAACAGCTAATCGGCGCTGTTTTTCAAGTAAATTTTACTTGAAGTTATTGAAAAACGAATTTTACCACTTTACGTTTTATGTGGCTAAGAGAGGGTTATATTCCCCACTTATAATTCATAAATCAAGCAATGTCTTGTCACCTCTTTTTCTTATTATATTGACAAGTTAAAGGGCCTGGTGGTATTTAAATTATAAGTTTAAAAACCCATTCAACAAAATAAAAAAGAAAGGCTTCGTTGGTGACTTCATTTTCTTTTCAACTTAAATATAGATCACGATATCTTTGACATTATGAACTAACGAGATATAAATACATAATAACATTGATGACTAACTCGTGTAAGACGTAACTTATGATATAGGTGTTTAGCTGATCTTTACAAACATATTACGTATACGTATCGTATGTACTATTCTGATGGCCAATCATCTTGTTTCAAGCATGATTGCCATTTTCTGTGGTTTTTGTGTCCGCCGGTGGGTTTTGGTTAGATTCCTGTGGCGGTATCGTGAGCGATACTGTGCCCTTATCCGTGTGCTTTATGTGCTCCATTTCGATGTCCGAGCAGTTCTCGGAATTGGACAGTGCCGAGTCCATTGAGGTGACGGTCATGTCCACCGCCTTATCGCTGGTGTTTGTCGAGAGCAGAGGCTTCTCAACCGCCGGCTTCTCATCCGCATCTTCATCTCGCGTGGGTGGCACAAAACTATTGCTATTGATGTCCTCGATGGCCTTGCGCAACTGTTGAAAGGAATACCATATTAGCATATTAGCTATAATCTTAAGACACGAGCAATCGAATCTTACTTCTTTGAGTCCCACAACGCCCACCAGTCTTCCGATCTTGGTGACATAGGCGTGGTTGATGCCCACCATCGAGAACAGCGAGTGGACCTTGAGTATGGAGGTGCGTTCCACCAGCTGAAATGGCGATGGGTCGATGTGCACATTGGCCTTTTGCAGATCGATGGGCTTCAACATCTCCTCCAGCTCCCATTGCTTCTGGTCCTCCGGCGACATGTCGATGACACGTTCCCTGGGCTAAAAGTAAATACAATTAAAAGTTCATAATGCTGAGTCTTAAAACTTGAATTAATCCTATTTATTCTAGACATACCAACTGCACTGACTTTGGTTTTTGAACGGTCTTGTTTGGGTTAATTGAGATTAAAAAAAACAAGAAAGAACGTTGGTTTCATTAGGTTGATGAAGTATGAAGACGTTAGTAGACATAACCTTTTAAATATTATAACACCAACCTACCTCGACATCCGTTTCTGTACCTGTTGCATCATCGACACCTTCACCAGTGGTTCCCGTTTCACTTGAGTCTTTTATTTCGATTTTCGTTCGAGTGGGCGAACCTTTAACAACCACTTCATTGGCAAACCTTATTTTCGCACATCTTTTTGTCGTTTGAGGAGAGCTATTTAAATCCGCAACCTTATTCGTTTTGAATCTTACACATGGTCGATCTGATGATTGGCTTGAGTTATCCCCACTATTTGATAATGCTATATCGCTGCTATCCTTTTCAGCAGACTTTGCACAAAAAGTAAGTGATTTTATAAAAAAATCCATTTGCTTTTAAATCTGGGTATTCGAGCATTCACTACACTTTTTACCGATTACATTTTTAGCAGTTCTCTATATATAGCTGCACTATCAGCAATATTAGGTTATTAATCTCCATTTTCTACTTTTATTTGATCTTAAAGCCTTACCAATGTTGTTGCTTCCGTTGAAATAGGGTTTACTTGCTTGCAGATATTAGATTGGGTTAAAAGTTTGCACAAAACTCACAGGAATGAATGTAATGAATGTTAGTAAGCTACTTACCAGCATGATTTGATCGGTTACAAAATCCCAATTAGTTTGTGCAGACTTGAAAAGAGATATTCCATCTCCCGGATTACTTTAAGATCCCAGAAATCCAACCCAATTCCCACTTACTTATTTAGATAGCTTTACTTACCAGCTGAACCTTTTTGGAAACTCCGGGAGTGCTGGGAGTTCGAGGCACCTCCACTTCGGTGTGGCTGGCGGCCGGGGAGAGGGAGCCCGTTTCCGGATCCGGCTGGACATCCTGGAGCGTGGTGGACTTCTTGAAGATGGCCTCGAAGGCGGAGCGGATGCGGAACTCCGAGTTGCCGGTGATCGTGGTGTAGGGCGTGATGCTGGGACTGTGGGCCATCGGTGGGGCGTAGGTCTTCAGGTTGAAGGAGTTGGTCTTCTTCAGGATGGATTTCCGAGGCGCCAGCGAACTGTGAAGCGTTTCCGCTCTCTTCTTGGGCGGCAGCATCTCATCGTTGGCAATCTGCCGCAGGCTGAGAATATCCGGAGCGGGAAGAACCTCGAACCGCGATGGTCGCCGCATCTTTAGCTCCACCTCCTGCTTCTTCTTCTCCTCCTCGAGCGCCCGCTCCTGGGCCTCCTTCTGCCACTTCTGGGCCACCTCCATGCGCTTCTCGCGACCGATGTGCTTCTCGATCATCTTGATCAGCTCGTACCGCTGCACGGAGCCCAGGAGGATCATGTTGTCCGGACTGTCCACCAGCGGCAGGGAGCGCAGCGTCTTGTTCTGCTTGAGGACCTCTTTGAGCTTCTGGTAGGAGATGCCGTGCCAAATGTACTTCACATCCCGCACCATGAAGTCCTCGACGAATATGCTGTACATCCCGGAGCTGGAGGGCAGCAGATCGGGCAGGTACGGCAGCTTCTTAATCAATATAATACTGTCGTATATCGACGGTTGCAAAAGCGCTGCCACGGCATTCGCCACCAGTACGGCAATCATCACCGGCACCACGTGCGTAATCTGCCCCGTCATCTCGAAGATGATCACGGCCACGGAAACCGTGTGGGTCACGGATCCCGAGAAGGCAGCAGCTCCCACCACGGCATAGCCTCCTGGCATAATGGGTGACAGTCTGCCTCCATATCGCACGCCATGGGGAAACGTAACCGCCATGAACTCGCCCACCAGTCGACCAAAGCCAGCTCCGATCTTGAAAACCGGAATAAACATGCCCGACGGAACTGGTATCGTGGAGGCGATAATGGAGAACACGAACTATAAAATAAAAGAGTATTTAATCAGTACCACCATAGTAATTTGGTGCAGGATATTTACTTACCGTAAAGAGTGTGTAGATGACCAGGTTACCAAACACGCTGGTGTAACCGGTCATCCAGTGGGTCACCACTGCCGCCTGCTCCACGGTAAGATCGTCGCGTGACCACGTGAAATTGCTGAAGAGCTGCGTCACCTGCTCGTGGGTGCTCAGTTCGCCGGCCAGGAATTGTCCAGTTCCCAGGGGAAACGATATGCTGGAGACCAACAGGGCCAGGAAGCCCGGATACAAAAAGCGACTGAAAGAAAAGTTGTATAATAAAAATTAGTTTTATATAACCAGGTAATACATTGAAAACATAATTACAGAAGTTTAGTTTTCCTTAAAAAGTTCTGTTAGAATAGAACAGTATTAACACATCAAACCTTTAAGTTAAACCTTTAAAATTGTAATTCTGTTTTATTTTTCCATAAAAATTACTATGTCAATTTCAAGTGTGCCTCTTGGATGAAAAAAATATTTGATTCATGGCAACCATGCGTATGCGTAATCAATTTAAAGGTCAACAATTTTTAAAACTAAGTGGTTCTAAAAGTGTTTGATCAACATGCTTTTAAAAAACTTGAATAAAGAAAGGAAAAGAGTATCTTATGCATGAGATCTTAAGAACTTACTTCTTCTGCAGGAACTTGTTCATCCGCTTGTTGGATCGCATAAACAGGACGTACCGCCGATGGACCCAAACGTAGGAGGCGCCACCCAAGCCACAGACCAGACTAAATAAGAAGAACATTAAAGTAATCAAGTAATTGAATAGTTGATTAAATAATTAAATATTAGAATAGATAGTTGAAATAGTTACCCAATTAAGGCGAAGACGAACAGCTCCTGGGGATCGAAGGGGAATTCGGTGGTGAAGTTCGTGAGGAAGAGGGCTCGAACGGTGTCCGCGTTTTGGAACCACACGGCCAGCAGTCTGAAGACGGTGGCGCCACAAACGGCGGCAAAGAAGCCGCGCCAGTAGTTGCGAACCGCAAAGTAAGTGGTGGTTACCTCTATGCTAAATAGCACACCTGTGGTTTACCGTAGGTCAGAGGTCAGAGCACACAAACAGATGGCGAAGATAAGATTGAGATCCAGTACTTACCACCCACTGGGGCTGCAAAACAGGCACCCACACCCACCGCACAGGCGGCGGCCAGCATTTCCGAGTTACGCGACTCATTCTCATATATGCCTTGGAATGATGTGACAAGTTTACTTAATAATTGTGCTACAATACTTGCTATATGTACGAAAGGACCCTAGGGAAACGAAACATATATATATGGAGATCGGAGATTTGGGCACTTATGGCAGAGAGAGATTTTCCAAACTGCACCACGCGGTGGTGCGCATATGCAGTGTGAGATCAATTCTTATACTTACTTCCTTTCCTAATGGCATACCGCTGCCCAGAGTTGCCGTTAAACCAATTACCTTGGCCACTAGTGTCTTAAATGTGAGATACTCTTTCAGCTGAACGCCGCGCAGTATGGTCTTCATTTCGGGTATACCGGAACCTAGACACAGTTTGGTTATATAGATTTGCATTGATCATACGCGCAGTGGTTGCTTGCTTAATAGTTCTAGTTTTAGTAGTTAGTTTCTGAGGTGTGCAGTTAGCAGAATTGTTTTGATAGTTAGTGCTTCGAGTATTTAACATGTAGACACAAAGGATTCAAAGGTTAAGACGTGCCAAGAGTGCTTGGAGTGGGCAGCTGCCAGAGTGCAGTGGTACTAATCGTACTTTTCAAATCAAAAACATTATGTTAAACGGGTTCTGCTAA